ATTTTTGCTTGTATGCAAGTGCAGTGCTGTACTTAGTTCGTTTGTGTATGACTAATGTGCAACCAATGCGCCTCGAAAGATTTCGGTCGCAGCTCTCCATTCCTTACTAGACGGCTGGACATCTCAAAACAGAAGAACAACGAACACACACGACTACGCACCTTATACCTTTGAAAGCGCAATCGTACATCGTACGCATATACAAAAACCATCCTACAAAAATAGAAGGGCGCCACGTAGGATTGTTTATTGCTTGGCAAAGAAATGGCTTCAAAGTAGGCTACTACGTTCCAAACAGGTTATAAAAAAGCCGTTTTGAAATGTTAGCGAGGTATTTTATTAACAGCATGATTAGTTGTCAATCTAATTTTATAGTCTACTGAATATAAAATAATATGTTGACTCTTTCAAGTAATGAGAGCCCCCCGCCACGGACGAGGAATTCGGCGCTACTGTACATAGGTCGACACTTGCTCCGCGACCCAGATCAAATATCTGCCCGTCATTGGCTTCGCCGATACCGAGGTGCTTCCGCGGTTGCAGAAGGCTGCAGAACTCGCTTGCCCCACACCCTTGCACCGCTTTGCGCGGAGAAAATATCGTAGTGTCACCCTGTGCTCGCGTGTGGTTTGTGTTTTCGATCGTTTTCTCGCGCGTTTGTATAGTATTGTGGCGAGAGTCACTGATGAATGAGAAAGAAAAAGAGATGTACACACCCGCTTTTTGTTTGTCTCTCCACAGTTTTGAAGTGTACAGATGGGTTACGGAGCACGTGATGCCTAAAAACTGTTGCGTGCTGCGTTTTACGTCAAATGCTGCGAGAAATCCGGAACTCTGCCATCACGAGCTGCCGTCTCGAGGAACTTCCGGGATGCCTAGTTGAAGAACATTTCGCGACAAGGCACCGGAATGGCAGCCAAAGGCCACCAAGCTCCAGAAGCGTCGTATGCTCCCTTCATTTTAAGGAGGAGGACTACAAGGTGGGGGTCAAGCGGAAGTTTCTGCCATTGACCGCGGTGCCCATTCAAATCCCATTGTATCTGTTGTACATGAAACCAACAGGTTCAAAGAAGAGCAGAACGCTCGTTCGTGTGCCACCTAAAGCCTAGTTCACATGCAGCGGTTTTGGCCCTAGAGCGGCGCGATTCCTGCCGTCGCGGCGCTCTGGCCAGCACCAGCAATTCAGTGGCACGAGCGCCGCGACGGCAGAAATCGCGCCGCTTTAGGGCCAAAATCGCTGCATGTGAAACCCGCTTAACGCGTCCACGTCGCATGCGGGCGGTAAAAGCGAACAACGCAGCTGTTGATGAGTGCGAGGCTATTGAACCTTGCCTGCAAAGAGTTTAAAGTGGAAGAATTTCAGACGTCATTCAAATTGACAGGCTTCATGGAAGATGTCAAGAAAAACGCGCAACGCTTTCAAACGCAAGTCAAACGACTGAACGAGTGAATGCAAAAACTGCGACAAACCTGCGACGAATTTTATGAGAGATTGAAGCAGTATGAAAAGACAGAGCTGTGCAGGCCTTGATGAATGTTTCAAAAGCCACATCGGAAGGTGACAAGACGGCGAAATTTGTCATGGAGCAGATAGTGAATATTGACAAGGCACGAGCAGTACGGCAAGAACCAACGTTAAGAGAATGCGTACTATGGAAAGCGACATCATGTAAAGGCTATGACCACGTACGCGCAAGAAAATTCCTTAAACTGCCCTGCCAAAGTACGCGCAGAAATTTGTCGGGACGTCCACGGGACAGACCGAAGTCACGAGCCTCATCAAAGAACGGCTGCAGGTGGAAAGAAAAGGTCTGCGCTAAGAGAAGGAGCCCTACTGCAGCCTCATCATTGACGAAATGTGAATACAGCAGAAAGCGATTTATGATCGACAAGTTGATAGAATTTGCGGGCTTGATGAAATCAGATGCGAAACTCGATCAAGAGCCACTGAAGCAGGCAACAGGCTCCTTTGCTTCGTGCTACTTGGGCTTTCCACAGCTTACGTGATTCCAGTCGGCTGCTTCTTTACAAACAAATCTGAAGCACGGCCAGCTCCGAATTATATTACGCTCAGTGTCATCAAGGCGGTTGAAGAGGAAGGATTTCGGATAGTTCGCATCGTCACTGACAACCCCCAGACCAACACCGCGATGTTTCGACAGATGTCTGACGACAACACGCTCCAGCATTTTGTGCCGCACTCGGTACGTGAAGGTGAACCAATGCTCATCTTTTTTGACCCCAATCACCTTATAAAAAAACATCAGGACGAATGTGCTAGAGCTTTTTTTCAAAAAGCCCTCTACAACATTCAAGAACATCTGTTGGTCAAACCAGTGCTACTTCTAAGAAGTAGAAGGAAAACGTTATTCAAAAGCTCAAGTCCGAGTCGTTTTAATCTTCCGCATTGGATGTGGACTTGTCCTCTCTAACTTGGGTTAGGATTGTTCATGGCGGAAGGTCTAGGACCTCCCGCACATGAAGAAGCTCATTTTGTAGGTCAAGAGGAGGAGCGGCCCAATTTACCCAGGATTAGGGGAGGGGGGCAGGGAAGTTCAGAGGACTGGGGTGAGTAGGGGAGCTTGTGGCTCTTGCCGAGCTCATGTGAAACCAAACGATCTAGAGAAGATGAGAGTGTTCCGCGCAACGTTAATACTTTCACCTGTTTTAATTGGCACCTTTGAGTACCTGTACAAGAATCCTCAGTCTCACGAAAAGGCTCCAGAAGTCCACGATTGTAGCTCAACCATCACATTCATGAAAACGGTTGGAATGGGGTACAACCTCCATGATATCTCTAACTGGAAATCCAGACAAACGTCTCTTGTCAAAACAGAAGACGATCGGCTCTCGTGGCTTGAGGTTGATTTCATCAGCTACCTCAAGGATATTAAACTCGAAAGTACGAAGTCTCGGATCAAGTCCCTCACGAAAGAGACCTATGAGGCAACCGCAATGATAACCAGGTCAACGGTCGCCGTCACTGAGTATGTCCTGACGGACCTCAAGTGATCACAAACTTTGGCCAAAATGGTGTATTTGTGAGACAAAAAACTTGCTTCTAGAATGTATTATTTTGCTCACTTCTTTTTTTTTTTCAAAATTTCAGATTCAAGTGCGTGCTGACGGGACCTCTCAACAGCGACCCGGTTGAGTCTCTGTTCAGCTGCTTCCGCCAATTCAGCGGTGGTAACGACCGAGTTGATGCCAGAACATAAGTCTTCATGGCAGAAAATTTGTTCAAGTTTTCTTTCTTATATTGCAACCTTACTGACCTTACGTCCGGCGCCCAGTTTCTCGAAAACAGTATCAGTGCACACCAATCAAGTTTCTTATATAGTTTCAATTTCGTCGTGCATGTTGGCATTTTGGAGACTGCCAGAAATGGAAATACGCCCTCTAGTTCTTAATGCCAGACGGCGATTAAATGTGCCAGCTCCACTCGTGAAGCAGGAAATCCTGCAGCTCCTGAGGCAGCTCTTGGTGGGCTTTGGAAAATTCAGCAGTTGATGAAGTACAATAAGTCCCATCCGAACTTAAGTTCGCACCGCTGATCGACTTACATGGCTGGCTACTTGGCCTTTGTTTGCGAACGAAAGGTGACAATTTTTGTTTGTAGAAATTGTCGTAGTTTCAAAGCTACTATCTGAAACATTCCGCCTAGCAAAGCAATAGAAATGTTAGTGAAAGCGAGGAAGGCTAATATAAAGAACCCACTCAACTTTGCAGGTGACGTGTCCTGAATGCAAGCTATAACTTAAGGGAAATGCATCACGTGACGGAGCATAGGAATTCGTGGTTAGCCTTGACCAAGGAGGACGCAACTATCCAAGACCTGAAGATGTCTGGCTGTGCCAGCTCGTCTGCACCTTTGTCGAGAGGGCTCTACAGTCGGCAGAGATTCGTCGTTGTGGAGTGATTTGCAAGGTCCTCTCAAGCGCTGCGCTTTGACATCTTATGGACTGCCCGCTGATGTGGCGTACTAACTGCAGAGACCCGTACCACAGCGAAGAGCTCTGCGAGCTCTTTCTCGGGAAGCTCCTCAGACCTCTTTTGACTGGGCAGGTGACTTAAACAGCTCTCTTGACAATATATTGACGCTTTCGCGGAAGCCTCTTTCCCGACAGGTACTCCTTTGTGAACTATATCACTCTCTTGCTCTGTTTATGAACAATGAAGTTTATATTGCTGAAGTTATACACAAGGAATCTAATTTTATTTTTTTTTCACAGATGAACCAAAGGCACAGCTCCAGCGTCGGTTAAAACCGGAAATTATACGGTCTAGCTATATCCAACTATAACTCCTATATTACAGTGGTAGTCGACACGGGGAATCACTTACAACAAGAAGAAAACGACAATTTGCTCATACTGCCAGCTGGATGCGGCTCTAACCCGCAGCCTGCAACTGAGTGAGCTCCTCGCAGAAAGAATCGTGTTTTTATTCTACACAGATTTGTCACATCATTTACGCAATCAGGCATTCGTTTCAATTGAGACTTGCCGCTTCACGAAAAAACAATCTAAGTAGCAACACCGGGCCGGGCCGGGCGGACCGCTCCTCTCGCGCATAACGAGCGCCACGGCTGGCGCTGCAGGGTAAAGTAGAATTATCCCTCTCACCGGCGCAGTGAGGCATTGGGCAGGCCGCTCCAAGGTGCTTTCAAGCGTTTGCATGCTCATCTGGAACCGACGCTGCAGAATATAACGAGTTCTTCGAATCGAGGAAACTCTCGAAACTCAGGACCACACTTTGCAGAATAAGTTAGGGCAGTCTACGAAAGAAGCCTGGATAATGGGAGGCGTGGATAATGACATTTAAATAGTATGCGGCTCCAGACTCTAACTTTGAGAATGTATTTGAAGAGGTGCAGTACCAACGTGAAGAGGCCATTTCGAGGTTGTGCGACGGCTGTTGGCGGTGACTGTACGCCGACTTTTCACTCAATTGAGCTAGAGTGCGATATAACTAGGCATCAATCACAAAAGAAGATTGGGAGAGAAGTATAAAAAAAGTATCTTTATTGCTATTTATACCGTATTTTCGAGTATAAAACAACATTTTGCACGTCTTGTCAGTGACTTTATTTCCCCGTGTTTGAGCGTTTAGATTACGAGAATACTCCATTCAAACGTGAATCCCGGATGGCCGGTGCCTCAGAGTAAATAAAAAAATATGAAATTCAGAAAGACGCGATGATCATTATAATATATTAACTTTTTATAATGGCGCGTTTCCTGGAAGGGTAATGAATTGTAAGGAAAATCATGCAAACCTCACAGACACTTAAAGGCAATGCTCGCCCGATTTCATTTAAAAAAGCCATCAAATATCGAACACACCCAGACCATCTGCGACGGTTGTAGGGGTGTTGTTTTGGCAGCGAAGACGACATCTAAATAATGAGAGCGCGACTTTTTGTTGAGATTGCAAACGCTGTTAATACAAAATGTGTACATTTGTAAAAATAATAAAAACAAATAAGAGTAGTAAAAAAAAACTTTCACGGTAGAGGGAACATAATGCTGTAATACAGTATTAAAAACAAAGCACTCTTTTTTTTTTTCGTCTTTGATGTGTTCGGTTGTTAGCTCTCGGGGTTGTGTAGTAGTCCGGGATGTATGGGCAACGAACCGCGCGCATACGAGATATCACTCCGTGACTCCATTGGTCGACTGTGCGAGGATTCTTCGCTTGCTATTGGCTGACAGTGGCCCTGGTTTCAGAACATGCTTCTCCCATCGGCGGAGATGATCTCGGTGTGTTGCGATCTTTAATTGCTTTTCTTTAATAGGGAAATCGGTCGCGTATCGTGATGATATATGGATTTCTAGGATGCTTAGAGTCAGCAGAGTCAGTTAAAGTCATATTTACGCGATCTCAAAAACCTCTTCAGGGCACCTTTAACGGATGCATCACGCCCACTGAGAACATGAAAACGCGGAAAACAGAAGTTCGAGAACACGATGTTTTTCGGTGACGAAAGTATTTCCAAGGTAGGCATTCTCAAAAAACTAGAGGGTAACTGCACTCACTTCCGGTCTAACCTTATCGGTCACAGCCGCCAAATCAATGCCCCTAGAAAGGTCAGAAACAGGCACATCTTACAATGAAGTGTGTGTGTGTGTGTTAGGGGAGGGAGGTGAATTTTCCCAATGCCGTCGTGGTGTTCTCTATAGCTCCCGCAGTTAATGGCGCCCATGTTAAATCAATGTAAAGTGGCGACGAACTTCGTCAGGGATCTTCGTCTGCAGGCTGGGCCAGTTTTCTGAGTATGCCAGTGTTCCCGTCCAAAAGGATGTAGTCGCCTAGCAAGACATAGGAAGAAGCAAACCAAAATTAGAACCTGTGAGTTTGATAGACGCATTATCAAAATGAAAACAAGCCTTCATTTTCACTCTACGCAGTGCGATCAATGCGGAGCGCGAGTTCGCCTGCTTCTTGCGCAGGCGTTGCGGTAACGTCGGAAAGACGCCGAACTCTTACTGGTTCTTATTGAAGGATAGTGGGTTGACTTCAGGGCAGCTTTCTTTGAGGTCTATTTACTATCCTTCAATCAGAGTCGATCAGAGCTCCGCGCTCTGTCGTCCCCACAACCCCTGCGAAAGAAGCAGGCGACCTTGCGCTCCGTATAGCAATACCACCTAGAAGCCAACGCTTGCGCCATTCCTCTCCAAACGTCATTACTGATCATAATGAATTTGATAATATTAATAATAATAATGATTGCGCGGCTTTTCCCTTTGCAGCGGGGCCACAAAGCGCCGCCTAGATTGTGTCTGTGAAACTTTCCAGCGTGTCTCGCAGCGTCTCACAACGAGCGCGACGTTAGCACACGGCGTTGCCAAGACGGACGCGTCTGTCAATTCGCGGGCACTCTCGTGGAGCTTCAGCATGTTTGCCGCTTGTGGCGAGTCAGCGATCCACAAACAATGAAATCATACGCAGGCGTCGTCTTCCATGTGGTATACGGAGGGCAAGTTCGTCTTTTTCTTGCACAGGGGTTGCACTGACGTCAGAACGCCGAACTCTGATTTGCTCTGATGGAGGGATGGTGGGTAGACCTCAATGCTAGCTACCTTCACATCTACCCACTATCCTTTCAGTTAACAACAAACATAGCTCGGCGTTCTGACGTCACCGCAACCCCGGCTCAAGAAGCAGGCAGGGCATCTGAAAGAGACGCCCTGCCGTTCTCCTTAAAGTTCCTTGCTAAAATTCACGCTTCGTGTTTCTTACGAGTACCGACAATCTTTTTTGTTTAAACACGCAAAGAACGTGCCACAAGCGATTGCTCCGAAGCCGTTCGCTTTCGAGGGCTGTGTATTTCAGTGCTGTGCTGCCATCTGCCTCTAAGGTACATCGTGCCTCGGAGCATTGACGCTACTGGAAAGACAAACGGAAACATACAAAGAAGCTCTAGTTCTCACCCTGTCGGTGACTACAGTTCCTTAACTGCAGCTAAACGACACACAAAATTATGCGGTGTCTTTTTTGGGAAACGTCCAACGGTCTACCCGCGCGTTGCGAGGGCACAGTGCAGGCCTTACCGGTCCTGAGCATCGATGTGATCCCGTCCGCTCCCACGACACAGGGCAGGCCGTACTCTCGAGCCACAACGGCGCCTGCAAAGAACGCAATTCAAATATCGCCTCCCCACGCGCCATGACCGTTTCTCTAACGAAGATACGAATCGCCTACTATTAAGTCAATTCGGATCTTACTTCTGCGCCGAGCACATGCAAAGTCAATCACCTCGATCCACTGAGAATGTGTTTCGACTAAAAATGCTCGCAAAGTAAGTTTCATTTTTTATTTGGTTTTTTATGAGCAGTCTTGTGCCGCTTTGAAATACAGTCGGAACGATAGCTTCGACGCTTCAGCGGACTCTCATCTGTACTTATGCATATTGCACTTATGTGTCTTGCACCTTAAGTGAGCGAACTCTTCCAAATGCCCGCTTTGGAGAGTGAAGCCCTCATCTATAAATATAAAACTATCTATCACGGGACACTCTTATCATTCTACGCGCTCTGCGAAGAGCAAATATTCTAAAATATGCAGATGAATGACCCGTACCGATCGAACAGATTAAAGGTAGCCACCGAAAGACAAAGTCTTGGGCGGCACCGCGATATGAACGCCGGGGCTCCGAATATCCGACCAGATATTGGGAAACCCGGAGTTCAAACCCCCGCGCTGCCAAATTTTTTTTATTTTTTTTTCAATTCGGCGGCTACCTTTGTTCTGTTCGATTAAAATGGGCCCCTCATTTGCATATTATCCAATATGAAAACTATCTAGATAGAAGGCGCTACGTGACACCGTAGTCACGGGACATCATGACGTTGTGCGACACCATTATGTCACGTGACACTCTGACGTCATGTGACGCCGTTACTTCACGTCATGTCAAGGCTTCATGGGAGATGTCACGACACGGCACACGTCTACGTTTACCTTTGTTTAGCGATGCCCGCCAACATCAACATGCCTACTCGATTGTGCATCACAACACACGAAAAAGAAACTTAAGCACACAAACATCAAACGCTCTAACATAATACAGTATACACAAAATTACCAAAGCTAAAAAACATCATGACATGACATATGAAATAACAGGACTCTGTGATGGACGTCACGTAACGATATCGACGATGCACGCTCTACAACCCGCCACATCTACATCATTTAGAGTAGCGAGAAAAGCCAGTAACAGCCATTGCTGTAAAAACGTCATCAGTCCAGGAGCAATAAACATGTTGTATTGAACGTTCATTGTCCCATCGCAGGTTGCAAACTCAGAAAACATTCAGGTTACGGTCTCGCACGCGTACCGTGTGAAAGAGGTCCGCCCATCTCCGTGATCACGCCGGACAGAAGAGGGAAATACGGCGTCCATCCAGTGTCGGTGGCAGTCGTCACAAGAATGTCTCCTTTCTAGAGACACGCGACAAAGCAATGCATCAGGAAACCTGTCCCAAGTTTGCATCTCCAGAAAGATGATCGAAGCGTCGGGCAGACAACAAAAACATTAGCCGCGACAGACAGCGCAATATTTCACTTCGTATTACAAATTTTTTCAACTCTACATCAGCAACAGGCAACCAGTCGGGGGTGGCGATCCCATGTTGTACACAATCTCGTAGACTACAAGGTGGTAGTGCTCAAGTCTGAAAAAACCCAGTTTCTTAAAACTGTGTTTAAGGCTAATACCCCAGTCTGTTAATACTTCAATCTCTTGTACTAGACTCATATGGTTCGATTTCGCTTGCGTATTCGGAACTGTGACTTAAAGCACCGCAGCTTCCCCAAGACTATTGTTGCCGCACGACCGATGTCGAGACTACTAATAATTCAAAGTAAGATAATTACTTGTGGACTGGGCTTAAAGGTGCCCCGAGAAGGTTCCTGAGATCGCCTACATATGGCGACAACTCACTCTGCGTGATCTAAGCATCATAGAAATTCAAGATCATAACAATGCGTGACTGATTTCTATATTTAAAAAAAAAAATCAAAGATCGAACACACCGAGGTCATCTCCGATGATAAAAGGCGTATTGTTCCAGCGGCAAGAATGACACGTGACCAAGGAAAACGCAAAGTTTCATTGAGATTGCAAACGCTATTATAACATAATGTATATGTATACTTTTGTAGATGATAAAAGCAAATAAGAGTAGTAACAAAATTTCAATTTGTCGCGGAGAGGCGGCATAATAGTGCGATACTGCATAATACTGTCTTAAACACAGTTCACTCTATTGTTGTTATTGTATTTGTTTTTTTTTTTTTTTTTTTTTACGGCAGTGATATGTTTCGTTGTCGGCTTTTCAGCGCACAGTGGGGAGGAAGCGGCCGAGTGGGCGAACGCGTTTCAGCTCGGAGCGTGAAGCGAAAGCCTGCGCTGGGAACCTCCCGGGCTCGATCCCCACCGCCACCGCCCTTTTAGATTTGGATGAGTTTCGTACCGGCACGCGTTCGTGTAATCACTACTGCGTGATGCACGTTAAAAACCCAAGGTTAGTGGTTCTACTGCACTGGCTAAATTTCTCATCTCATCTACAATGGTCACCCGTTGAGACGTACCAACATCAAGACTGTATAAACTTACAAAGCAAGCCAATTTTCTCCAGCGCGCGATAGCCGCGGTGAGTCGTAGTCCGGCCTGCATGGGCAACGGGCCGCGCGCGTTCGAGGTATCACCCCGCGGTACCATCGGTCGGAGGCGCGAAGACCCTTTGCTTGATATTGGCTGACAGTGGTCTTGGTTTCGGAACATGCTCCTCGCATCACCGGAGATCACTTCAAACCAATCTTCGATTGCTTTTTTAATATGGAAATCAGCCGCGTGTCGTCGTGATCTAGGGATTTCTAGGATGCTTAGAGCCGGCACAGTGAGTTATCGACATGTTTAGGTGACCTCGGAAACCTCTTCAGGGCGTCAAATAAGAAAGGTAGCGATATCTTCTTCCTTGTCTTCTTGCTCGCGCACGTTTTATATTTGTTTCTTGTTCTTTCGGACTCGCGTGCGTCCGTAGTAGCGCAGCCCGCTCCGCTTCAAGATCGCATGCGACGTTCAAATACTCGGTTTTAGCTTGATTCAGAGCAAGGCTAAGACACACGTAAACACATTCACAGACACTAAAAGCGCACTGTCACGGTGTATCTTGTGTGTTTTACTGAATGAGCCGAAAAGAATATGCTCAATTACAGACGATGACAGCAGGGATGTTGCGCTTTCAGCGTAACTTCGTAGGCGACGTAGGCTTCTAAAGCAGAATGCGCCTTGAGAGCATTCCTCCTAAATCCTCCTTGCTTTTTTTTTAATTTTTGTTCTCTCTCGCGTTGACGGTAGCGCCGCCTGGGTCGCTTTAAAGTAGTAGGTGGCATTCTTCAGAGAACGTCCTTACCTGTGCGTATAGAAAGGCTTAAAGGGATTTAAGGCGCCTACATTAAACGGGTAGACTATTCTTTAGATATGTTGCTAATAGCTTACTTAGTATAACACCAAGTTTTACCATATTTTGGAGCTCTGGTAAACCCACGCATTAGTTTACAAATGTTGATTTTTTTTCTTCTGACGACCGGGCTACAATGCCCAAATTTGTCACCACCATGGTGCCCATAAACTGCGTAATCATCATATTTAGCGGAACACTCTAGCATTATAGGCGCCTCGATGTTCGACCAAGCTCGTCCTGACTTGCTACGATCGTGTACACTCTTACGCTACTCTGTCTCTTGCTATCGACCTCTTATAACCTTCCACTCTGCATGCACGTGAAAGAACGTCACGGACGATGGCGAGTTCGTTCGTAATGACCTGGTTGTCGTCGCTGGAGCTGGTCGCTAGGTTAAAATGGCCAGCTTTCAACATATCTTGATAACGATCACTCTCATTGTTGCTGCACTCTGTGTCGAAGACTCTGACAAAGCGAGCAATGCCGTAGATGTGATCGTCTCGAAACTTGTATTCAAAACACAAAAGGTAAAAGAGATAGGTGCAGCGCGAGACGCGGAAAGAGCCAAGTCTGCTAGTGCGTGCAAAGGGACGCCTCGCGTTGGGCGAGTGACATCACCAACCCAACAAACATGGCTACCAACCCGAATCGGGTGGATCCGAGGGTTTCGTATATAAGCAGAGTTATCCACAAAACTATCCCGCCATTTTCAAAAAAATATATTAGCAAAAATACTATAGGAACTTAGCAGAATACTTATCACATATTTGATTTTTGACTCGGTACACCCTTCGTTCTCTACAAGACACTCGTGCTTACGCGAATCAGGTGAGCCTCTTCGAAGGTCGGTACTACCCGTGCGTAGCCTTCTGCGACACCTTGAGACATCGGGTTACCTGTGAACGTGAGAAGCAGCGACTGATTAGAAGAGATGCATGTTTATCAGTACCCAGTATCCACGCTGACGGCATGAGCCGCAAAACCCAACCCGTAATTTTTCTGCGTCGGCCTCCCGAGGTGTTGAAGAGCTCCGTGAATGTGTCCGCACCTTTGCGTGCCATCACTATATATTCACGGACAGAGTGAGAACGGCAAGGCGTCCCTAGGGAGAGATCTATTCCGGGGTCCAGCGTGAACTCGCTGCCTTTCGCCGTGCTTTGGCTGAGCATGCAGGCTTGCGAGACACCGAAATGTCATCGAAGGTAAGAATCTCGCCCTCAAAGCGGGACAAGTAAAGGACCTTCTTGCAGTTCTCATCCTGTCAATGACCATGGTAAGAACCACAGCTTTTTCAGGAACCTGTAGGTATTCTACAGATGCGTGAGTGACTGTTTAAGCTTATCTGGAGCGGAAGTTCGTCTGCTTCTTTTGCAGTTGTTGTGACGTCAGAACAACGGGCTCTGATTGCCTCTTATTGAAGGATAGTGGGTAGAGCTGGAATCCAAGCTGCCTTGAGGGCTACCCACGATCTTCAATCAGAGCCAACCAGAGCTCGGCGTTCTGACGTCAAAACCCTTGCAAAAAGAAGCAGGCGAATTAGAGCTCTGGATATTGTGCGCGATAGTACAAGGCCTCCGTGCACCGTCGCTTGTTGTGCTCCTGCGTTACCTCGGTGAAGCGCCAACCAATGACACGACGTTTGCGCTCAACAGAAGAAGACTGTAACCAAAAGCAGCAAGTACCTCAATCTCCCATAACGTATTAAAAGATGCCGATAGCTTAACAAAGGTAAACAGTTATTCCTCTCTATTCGCATAGTGTGCATTGGGAAACGTTGACCCACCTTTCATTTCAAAGTCCCCTTCGATGCGTTTGGCGGCGGTCATAATCTGTAAGATGATATTTTATAAATTTACGCGCGGAATAAAACTTAGTAAATGACGAGGGCGAATTCTCTGCGGGGTAAAACACTAAAACGTAATTTCACTCGGGCATATCTTTGTCAACTAAACTGCATGAAAGTAATGAACACTCAACATTGCTACCCAAAAACCATGCACGAATACAAAGAAATACTATATTATGCTAATAGTATCCTTAGCATTTGCGGCAATAGTACATGCTCTGTAACTGGATGCTTGGCAGAATGTTAAAAATAGGGGCCTGTTAAGGTTCGAACATGTGTTTTGGCTGGCTGAGGCTGACCTGTTGATCGATTAAGCCTCGAACTATTCTATTAATGCTTTAATCGCGGTCAACTTCTTTAACTGGTTTATTGGTTGGGTAGGTGTTACAAAAGGACTGTTTTATTAGTTGTTACTCATATTTTTAAATTAGGAGATAGCACTTTAATCTTTTACGGTACATCTCTCCAGAATTTTGTATGATTGTTAGCAAGAGCGATTGTAAGGTTAAATTAGTACTAAAACGAATTTAATAAACCTGAGTAAAAAATTGGAGCTCTTACGCTTTTTAGATATGCTTGGAACTCGAGACAACCGATTAATCGATAAAATGGCATCGATTAATTTTGTTCACAATTCTAATTGACGCCCAAATTGACCGATTGTTCCTTCGCTACTTAAATTATGATATATTTATGTCGGTGATCGTTATACGTCTTTGTTCATCACGGTTTTGTTTGAATACATGAGCAGCTTTAATCTGTCGAAAATCGCGTGACCCAAAAAATCGGCACCATGCATCATGTAACAAGGCGAAGGTAGGTCACCTAGGCATATATACGTTTTGAAGACAGTTGTTTTTAGAACCGGCGGTATTATCTGTTGAGAAACAAACCGCCATTACAAAGAAAAATCATATCTCTAGCAATTTTTCTGTCCTTTAGCAAGCACGCATTTTGTTGAGTTCCAATTTTCACTATAGTCACTCAGAGCCTTGTATACAAAGAGTTTGATCAATAGGAGGCGCGGGTAGAGCCAGGGTGTGGACCAGGCACAGAAAGAGGGCTTGGCATGCTCTCTTGGCCAACCAGAAGCCGAAAAGAATCCCCTAGTGGTGGTAGCAAGAAACAGTTTTGGTCGTTTTAATAAGCCCGAAAAGGTTAAATGTCGTAGCCCTTCATGGTTGAAAATACAGTGCACGTGATGTTTCGGACATGATCATGCAGAAAGGTGTAAGAAACGAATGTGCCGCTCGAACTCTGTGTTTCTCGGACAGAGTCTGACCGCTCGGACGGCACATTCCCGGCCCTCGGCGCTTGACGTACGGATTATGTCGATCGTTCCGCGAGTCTAACCCTTCCACAATGATTCTGGATGACCGTGATTAAAACATCACCTTAACCATATTTTCAGTCACCGAGAGTTGCTCCGACCCACGTATTAAGTTTGTTTCTCGCGACCACCGCCAGGGTATTATTTCCGGTTTCTGGTTGATCACATTCGAATTTGTGAAGACGCCCTGGAACAGGCCAGCCCGCTTTCGGCCAATGACGCCTCCTCATTGGTCTCCTATACTTCCCAACGAATGGCCAAACTCTCTAGACATACGGCTCTGTAGTCACTTATAGCATTATACTGATGTGCATTGTATTATCGCTCATCAACCAAAAAATTAACAGCATTAGTCAATAAAAATGCCGGAGGACCAATCACAAAGCAAGAAGCGTAAATGATAACAAGTCACGCGTGACGTCATGACCAAAAGTATTCCCCCGGGATGTCGCGGTTTATAATCTTTCGCCACTTATCCTCAGTTGCGAGCCACAAGTTCGATGGCATCTGGGAGAATAACAATGGAAGCTCAGAGCCATCGGCACTCTTAAACCAACGTCGTCACAGTTGACACTTCGGCTACAGTGGGACAGAATGGGGTAGTGACCTCGCCGCCCTCTCTCGCTCATGATTCGAGGTGAGGCGGTCTATGTCGGTTTCCTCGTAGGCCGACCGGGGTGCTACTATCAACTCCGCCTGTCACCGCCCAATCCAAAGGGAACAGCCGCCATCCATCCACCCATGCATCCATCCTGAAACGTCCTGGATTGAGGCTACGCCCGGCCGCGTGTGTTTACGTTCGACTTCGGTGTTGCAAAGCTTGTTCCCTCAGAACCGTTTTCTTACGTTTTATTACGTTACGCATAAGTCATCAAAACAACCGTGTCTCGAATCTCGCGTGTCATACCGTGTCCTTGAACTGGTAGCCAAGCTCAATGTGAAGCACAGGTGTCCCGATGACTTGTACGTAAGCTCGCTTGACGTAACGTAACGTAAGAAAACGGGGCTGCATCAACCAGCATGTGTGACTACGGTTCGCGTGTGCTTGTCTGTGTGCCTTCGCCGTGAGGTCACTGTGATTACTGATGTCCTGCAGTTTTGTTCTTCGACTCAAATGCAAGAATGCCTAATCGCCGGCGAAACTACTGTTTTGCGCCTGGCTGTGAACAGGATACTCTCGCATGAAGGACGCGAAAAAGCTGCCTTTGTTCGATATACCCGAAGACAAGAAGCGGTGAAAGCTGTGGGATAAGAACTTGCATCGAGCGGACAATACGCTGCATGAGACCTTTCCTGTGTACGAATTGCATTTTGTACTACAGTAAGTAATTAGAGATTACATGCACGTCTTCGGTGGTAAAGAGGTACGCGTTCAGCGTGGGAAACCAATGCTTTCGGCCGACGCAAGTTCCTGCGATTCTTCCGAAAATTCCCACCTATCTGACGATGAAAACACCGAAACTAACACACGGAACTCACGCGATCACAAAGCGCGCGGGAAAGCTTCAAGAGGAGTAAAGTCCATTGATAAAATTCACCCAAACACATCGAGAGACTTTAAAAAGGAGTCAACCAGAGCGCCATTTCTTGATTGAGACATAAACCGCCTCAGCAAGCGGGCGCAGTGAGCCGATTACCCCATTCTAGGCCACTGCACTTTGATATTGCGCTGATTTTCGTTGATGAAGGAGAAATTAATCCAGATGAAGACATCAAAATGACCATTTTAGTCCATTGCGAATAGCGACAGCAACGTTTTTGGTCAAGCACGTCGCTAGTGGAACACGTCGACAAGAGCGGTGCTTACCGGCTTGGGTACGCCCACGAAAAGGCTGGGGTACTTGACTTTGTCCAGCTCGGGATGAAGCCGTAGCCTCCGTTGAGCTCTGAAATGTGAAAGACATAAATTTTGGTAAGCCTGCCATATTGTCCACGCGGTGCTCATGATAGCAGTTGATGCCTTCAAAAGTTAAGTAGAAAATATTTTAAAAAGGTTTTTTCCGATATTTGTTGAAAAACAAATCCTTGCATGCGTTGCTTTTGTTGTTTCTGCGAACGGCTTAGTTTAGTTACCTCACTATGATTAAAAGGTAAGGTCCTTTGAAGTGTTTCTCAGTGAACAGTATGCACCGTTCTAATGTTTACCAAATTACGGCCCAGATCGTGCATCTTTGTCACTTTAGAGAGCCAGCAAAACCAACACCACCAAGAAAAAATTGTAAACACTTATTCCCGAGTCCCACTAGATCGACAAACAGAAACAAATGACAGCGACAAGCCTCAAACCAGAGTCTTTTGCGATTACACAGGCTTTGTAGAATAAAGGAGACTATGCTCAAACACGAGCACCATGCAGGCGATGGTATCTTTGGCAGGGGTGCAATCACTCGTGCTTACTTCACGAGCACCGAACGACTAAACGCCTGCCGAAGCTACCATCGCGAGCATGCTACATCTGTATGAGGCTTGTCGCCGTCGTTCGTCTCTGTTTGTCGCTCTAGTGGTGCTCGATAATTACGCAGCCCGCAAGCCGGAACACAGCGACAGCTGAGGTGCGAAGTCGTAGCCGTTAACGTAATATATCGGAGCAGATGGACTGAATGAACGGTAAAGGTCCGTGCGCGCACCATGGAGTCCGCATAGGCGTTTCGTAATAAACCGAGTTACACACCGGACGAAAATTTCATAGAGCTTTGGAACTAATAAGGGTGCATTAAGTACAGAGCATTCAGAGCTGTCTGTGTAAGAGGAAAGTGTGTTTTTGTATGTCACCTTGGTACAAAGAGTCACACGTGGTAAACGTAAAGCGGAGAATAAACAAGGATACGCAAATAGACAAGAAGACGCGCACTTTTATATGAAGGTTTATTGAAACAAAGACACTATTAATATCATAATTCGGGCTATTCGTTTAGAAAATAAAACTTCGTCTTCGTCAGGTGCAGTTGCTTTCCCCTTGCTTTCTGACACCGAATGCATCGTAAAATTCTGAGGCAGTTTTCTCTGCGTATCTCCTGATAATTGTTGCTTGTGTTGATTCTGGGTCACCTGGGCATTTATCTCAATGCACTGCATAACATGCGCCATGTATGAGCATGCATGTTATCTCGCTTTCTTTTTACCTTGTTTTCAGCGGTCCGATGAATGTTTTGGCGGAGTGCCAAAAATGGCCCGCGTCGATATGGAACCCGGTAGACGGCTCGAAAACGCGCAGTATCCCATTAGCAGCTATCGCTGGAAAATTAAGGCCAGTGAACTGCGATTTTGATGCGATCACCGTGAGACCAAGTGCAGAAACAAACTAAACGCGAATGCTACGTGATTGCTTGGATAGGTCTTGTGTCTAATCAATACTTGGAAAAACGCTCGGAGGCGTACTCGGGCCCAGCTGTGCAGATGCTGCCATCCTCATGAGGTTTCATGGAGGTATAGAGCGGTCTGCTGACGCGCTTAGATAATTCTAGGTGATTTTGGCAAATAGTGAATCATACGCACAAACTCTAAGATACTGGTCAGAAACACGTTCAGGTAATGGTCTGTACACTGTGCCTCCACATCACAGTCCCATTTAGCTAGTATGGACAGCTCCCTTCCCCCATAGCGTCGTCCATAGCATGAGTCGACCATAATAGGGAGTTTTTTAATAGGTTCCTTGATGCTTCGGGTCCCTCAAGCTGCTCGAGGGAACTTCTGCGCATGCTCAGTGTTTACCCACACCCTATAAAAAAGGTATATTCTTACACCCCTTGTCACATATACGACACCCCACAATTTCAGTACGACGTACACCGCGCTGACGTCGAACTGACTTCCCCAACTTCTGCGATAGGGTTGATGACGATGCGATATAACATATCAAACAGCTAAAGTGCATACGTAGAAAAGTCTACAGAAAAAAAAAAACGCAGAGGTTTTGCAGTGGAGCCAAGAAAACCCCGATAACTTTTTTGTAGTCAGTCACACTTACATTAGCTATTTTAATAAGTTATACGCCTCGCAAGTAGGCTCATTTTCGTTTTCTGCGCATGACAAAATAAGTAGCGGTGACGTCAGAACGCCGAGCTCTGATTGGCTGATCGCGACCCCCTATCTGAGCGTCGTCTGCTCCTTTGCAACGTCGTCTGCTCGCAACGTCGTCTGCGTCTGTCTTACGTTTCCTGCGACTTTCGGAAGCCGAGCGAGCTCGACTTCGCCTTTCAGAGAGGGCAGACGAAATAACTCGAGCCGTACGTTGTTTTTGTCTAACAACTAGCAGACGCGTATTAAGGAGGGAAGTCAAAGGACTCACTGGCGAGGTGTCCCGAGGCGCCGAGGTTTGTTTGCTAAAAACCAAGAGTGAGCGTGTTAGTGGGGAGCTTGTAGTAGATCGTTTTTCTCCTCCGCTACGCCGAAGAATCCCCGAAGAAAACGTCGCAGCTGCGCATGCGCGCCGCCAGCCTTTTCTGCATTGTTCAAGGTCTTGTGGCGGATTACAAAGCGCTATCCGGGTGCTTAGCGGACTGCGGGAACGGCCTACTACAATTCCCTAGTGTCCGCAAGTTCCCTCTCAAATACTTTTTCCCTCCCTTCGTGTGCGGCGAGACTCCTCACTCTTTAACGGCGTCGGCGGGTTGGCGCAGTTAACGTCGTCTGCTTTACGTCTCAAAGCGATGGCTGCTTTACCTTTCCTGCGTCTGTCGGAGATTCGCCGCTTTTTTACCGGCGAAAGTCACCGTTGCCTCGGAAAACAAGGAGATGACAAGAGGAAGAGATTGACCTCTTAATCTAAAATTGAGGGCAGCGATCAAAGTATAATACGGGAAGGGTTCACAAGGGTCGCGCGGCCATATTCCATTCAGCACGCCAGCCGGTCGTGGGCATACGGTCGCCGAGTCGGAGTGCCTGCTAGGCCTATCAGCAGAGCTCGCTTGGTCGTTGTCGGCGCAATCGGGGCCGTTGGAGCTTTTCCCGGGTGTTTGTGGATCCAGCGTTCTTGTTCATCGTGGTCTGTTTCAAGTACTTTTTACTTTTTTCTTGCTGCTTGAAGTCGGGACGCGTGAGAAGTGCACGTCGAAAAATAAACGTCCGTTGGTCGTCGCGACTGCGACGCTGTCGGCCATGCTGATTTGATCGTAAGAAGTGCGTAAGACAGCTTCGGAGCTGTCGTAGGATTTCGTCGTAACCAGCGCAAAACTTACGAAAATTTTGTTTCGTGAATACGAATTTGTTCTCAAGTTTTGTCTTACGCATATTTTTGGCGTAAGATCGTTTTGTGAACCTGGCCTCTGCACTTTCGAAAGTCGCAGGAAAGGCAAGACAGACGCAGACGACGTAGCGAGCAGACGACGTTGCAAAGGAGCAGACGATGCTCAGATAGGGGGTCGCGGTTAGCCAATCAGGACTCGACGTTCTGACGTCACCGCTACCCCCTGCGCAACAAGCAGATAAACTTGCCCTCCGCATACAACTGGGCTATCATGCCGCTCGTGAGATTCGGTCGCGTTGGTACAAACTCAGGTTTTGGGGTGTGGTAGAATTGGCAATTGGTGTAAGAATATATTTTTTTTCTTCCTTTAAAGTTCAGTCTACCCACTTCAAAAATGTGGCTCCTATCACGGGATAGTCATATTAACGGGGTTTATGTTAACAAGACACGATTCATTACGCGTTTTAAATTATGGAGTTTTGAACTTGATGGCAATTGCGGTCGATCAACGCGAATAAAAGGCGAGCACAGAAGGACCGCTCACTTGAGCACGAGGCTGGGCGACCTCGTCTTGAGAAGGATGCCGATCTCCTCGAAGGTGAGGAAGTAGAGCAGGTCGGGCGTCGGGATGCGACCTTCGAGCACCATCTGGTCCGCCAGGCGGATGCACACCGTCCGCAGCTTGTGGATGGTTCGGACCAGACCGGACTGCAGAAAACGGGGCAGAAGCGGTCTTAAAGGGTGCGATCGGTTTTTCTTGTTGCATACCCGACCCGGAAGAATAGCACCAAGCCATCGATTTAATCGATAAAAAGCTACATCTCATTGGACATGGACGAGATGGATAACGAAGTGAGATTGAGGCTTGACCGTTAGCCGTTCTGCAAGCCGCTTCCGCTCTGGCTCATAATGGAGCCGCGCGCGAGGTGTGCCAGGTGTGCTGCTCTCGCTCATCACGCAGTATACAAAACCTCAAAGCTGTTCCAGGCGTCGAACAAACTTGAACAACCGGGAACATGGGGGCCGCCAAAGTTCCCAAAAGGGACCGTGCAATGATTTTTAAAGATTGGTCCATTGATTGTTGAAACTCAGTCTCTGTCACTTATACAATAAAGAACAGAAAGTAATTTTTGCTCGCGTGCGCTACTTTAAAAATAAGCAAATTCGAATGCATCGCACCCGCTTACCAACTCACACGTCCGCGCCGCGGGTGAGATCAGCAGTGCAGCGCAAGAGCAGAGCCGAGGGATCGACGTCAGGATCGCTCTTCGCCGGCTTAGTTTTGTTTACAAGCTTTTCAAGGATGATATTTTCCCAGCGTAGCGCCCACTACGGTTTTTGTTCAGAATGTTACGTCAGTGCTAGGTCATGATCAGGTCGAGCGCCAACTCTCAAGAATATTTCTTCCCCGAGAATAAAAAATTTAGGAAGTTATTTTAAAACACAGAGTCAATCAGCAATCTAATTAATCGATATCGCTGTTCTTCGAATGAAACTGTAATTAACTGCTTAGCCCCAGAAATAAAAAAAAAAACTCTAATGCAAATTTCATACCATTACATGCTTTTAATGGAACCCCCAATCCTAAACGTTTGACCGTCCGTCCATCCGCACGTTCGTATATTTACCGATAAATATAGCGGGGAAGTTAATTTCACGTGACCTGACGTTACGAGAACTATCTACATCAATTCAATTTCCCCATCAACTTTAGCGGCAAAATTAATGTTAAGTGACCTGAAATCACGTGACCTATATAAAAATTAAATTTTCTCGCTAAATACGACGGGGAAATTGATATCAGGTGACACCGCTGTCAAGAGGCCTATACATAAATTCAGTCTTATCGCTGTGGGGAGATGAATGTCAGGTGAGCTAGCGCCACGTAACTTTTCCACCAATTCAGTTTCCCCGCTAAATATGCCGGGTAAATTGATGTTACGTTACCTCCTGTTAAAGAAATCTATACACCAATTCTATTTTCCGGCCAAATTCGGAGGGAAGACGGATGCCCGGCGACCTGTCGTCACGTGACCTATGCACCCAATTCAATTTCCAAGGCAAATTCGGCATGAAATTTGACGTCACGTGACCCGGCGTCATATAATGTGTGTATAGGTCATGGGGCCTGATGTCGCACGACCTCTACATCAATTTATACTTCCTCACTAAATGTGGCGGAAAAACTGACGCCAAGTGACCTATACATTTTCCTCGATAAATTTGGCGGGGAAATGGATATCACTTCACCTATGCATCGAGCCAGTTTTAAAAACTGATAAAAATATAAGATATGCACTCCCCGAAACGACTATGAAATGTCTTCTGAACAAATCAAAATAATCCCTCTTAAATACGCCATTCGAAGCATTATAAGACTTTAAAAAAAAAAGTATTAATATCGCTATAATTTTGTTTTGTGTGCGCCCTCGAAAAAAAAAAAAACGCATTGTGTAAGACTTTCAAATATAATGCTCCAATGCAAAACCGTGCCGATCTTTGGGATTCTCGAAACACGTAAACAGCGCTCAAAAAGGTGACGTTAATTTACATCCGTAATCTACGAGTGACTGGCAAATGCCCACGCCGCTGGAACGAAGAACCGACAACCCCCGTGCGATAACGCTCTCAACGGTGGCTAAAAGGACCTGCGTACGTGTCGTATCGAACGTGTTTCTTGGTCCCTGGCACAACGTGTAGAAGGCTAAGGTCCTCCAGAACTTGAATCGAGATACCGAATTAAAGTTTTATAGATACGAACGTGTAAACATTTTTTTCTTATATCCGTTTCTTGTTCCAAAAGCGCAATCCTTGGCAATGCTTACCTTGGACGTTTCGCGGGCAGCAACCGCGAGTCGCGCCCGAGGGATCAGGAACTTGAGCAGGAGCCTGCGATATTACGCGAAAAATAGAAACACGCTCGGCGTCGGGACCAAGTATGTCTTTTCGTGCTTCAAACTGTGGGGATGAGCAACGGAAGGAAGACCACACCCGGTTTCAATTCAAGTCCAACTGCAGTCTGCACGTTACAAACCCATGTAGCCAGTAAAGCAGTGCCAAACGAGCATCGTCAAGGCGCTTGTTGCTTCCCTAGTCCCCACTAGGGGCCCTAAACTCGTCGAACACAAAGTTCGAGCCCAAAAGTTCGCGGAGCAAGCCGACTGCACGCCGGCGAAAGAAACGCGAGGTCATCGTCGGGATAAGTCCAATCGGTGAACTTCGGCCCAACTTTGTGTTTGGCGAGTTTAGAGCCCTAGGACTGGAGACCTTTTCCGCTGTCCAAACGTACGGACAACCTAATTGACCACGTAAGTGTGGCGTCACCTCTCCAGACAAACCGTTGCTAGGGGCGTTATTATGGACGAATGCATGGGACTGGATTCCACTAAAAAAAAAAAAAAAAGACGATTGGTGAAAAACCGGACGTGCAATTTAAACGTCTAAAAGGAATAGATAGAGGAATCTTAAATTTCACACTTACTATGACAGAAGTTAGCCAAAAAACTGAGCGTTCCTGAAATATTTGCGGCGGCAACTTCCGGTCCTCGAGACGTCTCGAGATGCATGTTACAGACGACGAACGCATGGCGAACGTACACGAAATTACTAAAGTATGTCATCTGCAGCAGTTCGAATCGTTTACCAAACTAACAAAACCTAACCCAACCTAACTTAACCTAACCTAACCTAATCGAACCTAACCTAACCTAAAATAACTCACCAGGATAATAAAAACGACAAGAATCATCACATGTATGGAGATCTGCTAAAAATACAGCGAAAAAAAGCACCTGTTTAGAACATATGATATCAAAGAGCATCGGCCGGGCCCTCTTTCTCATCTTTTACTTAGCGTGCATTGCAATAAAAGAGCAATTATTTTCACTCCAACATGAGCGGTTCGAGACCTCTAACTTGGTTTTTAGAACGCAGCTCCTAGGCGCCCGTTTCCGGGATTTGCAGCGTCGGTGTCGGTGTTGGCTTAACTGCGCTAAATTTAGCGGGAAAATTGACGCCACGTGACGTCAACACCAGTTCCATTGCTAAATTAGCGGGTAATTGAATTTGTGTTGAGGTTAACTGCATTTTTCGGCTAAATTTAGCCGGGAAACTAGGGGAGGAAGGGAGGGTATGGAGGAGAAGAGGAGGAAAAGGAGGGGAGTGGGAAGGGATGGAGGAGGAGGAGGAGGAGGAGAAGACCAGGGGAAAAGGAGGGGGTACGGAGGAGGAGCAGGGGCATCCCCCTCCTCCGTACCCTCCCCTCCTTTTTCTCGAGAGCTGCACTCTAATTTCTCATTACAGGAATTTGTACACGTCTTTCTTCTTTTTTTTCAGCGAGAATCTTGTAGTTCCTCGTCGATAAGCAGATTGATCAGATTTTGTATGCACTCGTGAAGTTGGAGGGTCGCGTTTTTCTGTGGAATGAGAACGCCTTCTAATAATCAAACTGAGAAAAAAATCCTACTGATTTTTTAATTTTAAGTAAGACCCCAAGCGTACATCACGGAACGCTTCCCCGTGCTTTTAGAAGAATCGAGTCAACTGTAGCCTCGAGTGTAAAGCATAACGAGGCCAGAATGACCTTGCCTAGTCTGCCTCGTTTTAGCTCACGTACGAACATTCCAGGTCGAATGCTCGAGATTCCGTTTGTGGCAGACAAAGAGCCGAACGCGGCTTTGTGGACTCACAGCCAGCTGTCGCGCCGACCCATCGTTGCTCGCTGCCGCCACCGTCGACGACCATCCTTTCATTTGCTTCTACGCACAGTTTCGCCGAATAAATCTTTATTTTCTGTTTTACGCTCGTTGATTCGTTTCCATCAGCGACGATATATATCTGCTACGGACAGTTCGTTTGATCACACAGATGTGCACTGAGGCAACTGTGCTGTCAAAAACCTTTGAAACGTGTGCTGGATTGCACTTCGACCTTGATACACTTCACGTCGTCGTCGTCGTCGTCGTACGTGATTCTGCTTTATACTGTTATCACTTTCTGGAATATTGTGGACGCGAGCTCCACGGGAAAGCGTTCGTGCGCTCGCGCACCTGGAGCGTCAATCAAATTGTGCAAAAGCACTCTTTGCTTTTAAAATCCCACAGAGAGTTGTTATGGAGATTACAAGTTTCGTCGATCGTCACCAACCTCATTCAAGGCGGTCGTGTACTCCCTCAGAAAGAACCACTGAGCCCGCGAATCCATTGTGTCGTCTGCTAGCAAGGCAAAACGGGTTGTGAAACTTTATTACGGGCTTTTCTCGTCGCTTTGTGGTGCTGAGACGATAGAAAAAGTCCGTATGATTCGAAATTGAAAAGACACAAAACGTACCAAAAAAAATCATTTACTTTTTTTTTTTTTATCCGACAATTTCTGACCTCACGTCGAGCTCCAATGCATTTGAACATAACAACGGTCCTAGCAACGGTTTGTTTGGAGCTGAGTGCCACGTTGGCACGTCATCACTTGCGGGATCAATGACACTTTTACTTCCTTTATGCCGAGAAGGCTAGTTCGATAGGCGGAGCCAGGCTCAACTCGATACCTAGGCACCCACGCGTTTATACAAAAAGGGCGGACACGCTATTTAAGTTGTTGGGCGCTGTACCCGCGTATGACTCGTGTGCGACTATGGCCGCTGCCTATAACTTAGGCGGCAAACGTGCCGATCTGGGGAGCGCGGGTCCACCACATACTCTTCTCGTTGCACCCTTTATGCTCCAATGAGCATTAAGTCCGGATAAATGTTATCTCGAGAATTTCTTTCTGTCGATAATGCAGTATTAGTAAACACGGACATAACCTAAAAAGGAAACAAAGCGTTTTCAGAAAGTGGCGACTTATAAACTTCTTTTCTTTTTTTTTTAACTGCCGTGCGTTTAATCTTTTTTTTTTTTACTTTATTTTTCTGAGCACTCGAAGTGCCAATCACTCATTTACACGATCTGGATAAGAAGCACAACTGTTCAACAAGGGTGCCGCCATATTGAGTGTCTTATCTTCCAATATGGGCAAAATATAGTTTTGCCGTCGCCACGCCAATAGAATACATTTAGGATATAAGCGCAACCGTTACCCAATGCCGTTTTGCCTTTCCTCTATTTTTTCACTATTTGCAGGATGATATTACGTATTATCTTTTACGTCACCCATACAGCATATGCCTACCAAATGGCTAAGACGAAAGTAAAGAAAAAAAGGTATATAGTTAACGACAGGCTGAAATATATTAAGACCTTGAAAACGGTCCGCTTTGTGAAACTGAACATGGTGAAGCGTCGTACCCAGTTCCACAGGGCACACTGCTTGTTTAAGTTTCAACAGAATATAAGCCCAGTCATTCTCAGACCTCCCTCCTCAAATGACAGCAACTGGCTCTTTCGAGTCCTTTCCGGGAAAGCGGACGAATTAGACTCCTCAGAGTATAAGTTATATTGATAGAGGTTTCTCTTCCGCAGGGGGGCTGGCAACGGTTGGCTCTCAAAGTTATGGTGTCCCGATGTGCCTGTCCCAGCGTGGGGTCACCTTTTGTCTCGTCGAGAATCGCCAGCGCGTGACGCAGCATAGTTAGAAAGAAACCTTTTGTCCGTAACGTGGCGTTAAAACCATTGGCATGCGCTACGTGTTCAGTAACGCTGCAGACTGTGTTCTTTTCGAAAAAGAAACAAACGATTGGGCGGTGACGTGACTAAGATCTCATTTTAGAACATGCGTACGCACTATAGTCATCGACATCTTCAGAAACACAAGGCGTAGTGAGTCCTGAGCACTGAACCACTGCTTCGCAGCCAATAGGAATACGGCATTAGCCGACAAGAACGCCGAAGAGCCATTCACAAACCTCGCAAATAAAAAGCCAGGCCCCCTTTTCTGAAACTCTCCGAGACTATGGGAAATTCATGCGAGTGGTTACGCAGTTTGTTTCGCGCGTGCTTACTTTTGGACAAATGTCAGTTTGTAGGGAAGGTCGCTGAGGTCCCACGCGGGTGCTTCCTTCTGGGTCGCGGATTTCGGAGCCATCGCCGCGGCCTGGGAACGGTATTGAGAAGGAACATAACAGCTTGGCAACCAAGTTCATGGTCGATGAAGACTCGACACAGAAATAAACTGAAGGAGAAAAGATGAGAGCATTCGGTGGCGACATACCATAGCAAGAGCGTCGTCTCTTTCTATGCAGCTATACGTTGCTTCAGCTTAATTCCAGACGCAGCCGACACTACGAGCTAATAGGTCTAATAAAGCAGCGTCAAAAGTGCAAGTCCCTGGGCCTTTTCTGTTTATCATTGGTTCAGCGATGCTAGAACTGGTACAGAGGCATGACGAACACTACGATGGCGCGCCTCTGATGCTGACAGATTGGCACCATCAGCTGGTAGCGTCGGCTCCGTTTGCGCTTCAAGTGAAACGAGGTATAGGTTGCGCTTATCCACCCTTCTTCCAATGAGAGCTCGGCACTCGGAAGCAAGTGCACGTTCTCGTGTTCTCCTATCCCTCACTCTTTTTCCTTATAACGGCACATCGTGTTTAGTCACTATCATATCCTTATCACTTGTAAGCCTATCCAAAGCCCCCATCAATTGGTAAAAAAAAAAATAATGAAGCAATCGCGAAATGGCAAATTGAAGCAGGATTTACGATATCATAAAGCAGCGAAGAAGTTGAGCGTTAATATACAGGAAAGGGGATGTGGTTCCCTATTTTACGAGGGAATGATGGTACTCCGAAGCGTTTCCGCGAAAGGACCCGGACCGTATTAGTGAGAAAAAAAAATTTCCGAGTAATTGAATTACTTTAAACCAAAACTTTCAGCAATAAATAGGATAGAGACCCTATTTAAAAATATTTTAGTGTGATTTGCTATATTACTATTCCAGATCTTACAAAACTATAAAAGTCGTAAGGTGGAGTATTTAAGTTTTATACCCCTTCCACATTTAGTACACAAGTGAGTATACTTATTTTTTACTAGAAAATCATCTGACAGCAGTGTTAAAATACGCTCTCTAGGAACAAAAATATCGGGTCCTCGTGGAAACCAAGCAACCTATTTAACGTGTCATTTGAGAGCAATATCGTGATTTATTGCAAACGCTGGCTTTAGCAAAATAGTAAGCTGGGCGAGTTGGTAAAAGTTGAACATGATGAAAAATCGCGCCTCTCTGTCTTCTGCGTTCTCTCCTCGTTTGTCCTTGTATTTTTGTGCGCGAATTTTCATCATGTGCAGCTGGTTTTAGCAGCATTGCTATGGAAAATATACAGCTTCAATGGTCACATTTTATGAAACCGTAACTGTGTCAACTGCGACAGATATGCAAGTATGATCTCCAACACGCCCCAATCGCTCCCTCAATATATGTATATGACTGGGGAGGGTAGCGGAGTCGTCAGGCAGTAGAAGTGATCAAAATCAAGGCCCGTTCACACACTTGCGCTTGACTACGATCGATTAAGACGAGGCCGGTTTTTAAGCCTTTTGTGATGGCTTAGGACCGGCCGCGCAGCAGTCAAGCCGGAAGTCCCGTATTTACTCGAGTAATAGCCGCACTGTTCATGAAGAAAACCTGAGCGTTCGCTTTTCCGCGGAGCACGCGGATTGCCAATCACCGCGATCGACAGCATGATTCCAGCTGTTGACAGGACAGAGATAACGTCTTCGTGCGAAGATACCATCTGTGAAGATTGTATTTGTATGGAGAATCGTGCTCTCCATCTGGTTATTTGTTACGTTATTTATGAGCAACGAAATGATTGGCTGTATATGTGCTCTGTGAGAAAGTTGACGCGAGGGCCTTCTTCATAAATAGTGCGGCTATTACTCGAGTAAATATGGTAAGCCGTCACAAAAGTCTTAAACACTGGTCTTTTCTCAGTCGGTCTTAGTCAAGCGCAAGTGTGTGAACGGGCCATGTGTTTTCAGTAAATAGGGACTTCTAGCAATACGCTACTGTGTTCCGCTTACCGCACTATACTGCAGCCTTTGAAGCGTGCTTTTAAGCACGCGCCCGGAGTCATACCGTCACAGCTGGGCGCGCGCTTCAAAGCGCTTCAAATGCTGCTGCTGTGGGGTACACGGAACACGGTAAAGGTTTGCTAAAAGTCCCTAATACAAGTAAGCGCCGAAAAGTAAAGCCCTGTACGATTTTATTAAACTAAAAACAAAAAGAAAGTTGAAAAAAGCCAAGCTTGAAGAGAAATAAATATTTATCATTTATCAATTCTATTTTTCGTTAACTCTGGAGAAAGCCCCCCCCTATAACGTTGGCGAGGCAGCTAATTCCTTCGAAACAACAATCTTTACCTCGTTTGCTTCCCTCATCGGTACCGAGACGTTTTTCACGTATTCTAGTCACACACAAGTTGCCCCTGAAGATCGGGGAATCCCGTTTCAGTGTATTATTTTCTTCGACGTAAGCCCAGAGAGATACCAATTTTTGTGTCCGACAATAAAAATTGACATAAAAACCACCGAATTCGTAGAAAAAAATATAACAGTAAGAAACAGAAAAATTCGACCCCTAACACGTGAAATCCTAGTCACGATGCACAAATAGAGTGGAAGCTTACCCTCAGAGATTTGACCAGAGAGGAAGGGTCCATGCACCACGGCTTTGTGTACAGGTCAAACTGAAAGCAGAATACAGTGCATTCGATCATGTACCCTGCACTTACGACTCATGGGAACGATCGCATAGATTATGTGAACACCGATCAGGCTGAAGCTTGGGCGACTCGGTGGAGCCTGCTTTCGAGCACCACAGCGCACAAAAAGTCCGACCCATAAAACAGAACAAAAAATGTCACGCACAGCGTTGTGTGTGGTCTTCTTTCTTGCGTGGCCCTCTTTTGTGCGCGCAGTAATCATTATCAGAAAGGTGTGTCGATCACGTGTCTTCCTTTAAGCCACTACCACTCTGCTCATGCATCATACGAAAGACACGGTTGCAGACATGAGGACATGTGCGGACACGGCTCAAACTTGATCGTAGGATGTTTGCGTTATGCATTCTTTGAACATATCTGCGGACGGCTCATGCATGACCAATGTGACGAAATACCGTCATACAAAAAAAAACACGCTTTAGACAGTCTAGAGATTTAAGGAACCGTTTTAGCCCATCCGATACGAAACGATGGGCCCTCCGGTACGCACTGCGCATATCTGAGACTTCTGCGATAGCGCATGCGCAGTTCATACCGCAGGGCCCATCGTACCATATCGGATGGGCCAAAACCGTTTCCTAAAACTCCCTAGGGCCTGCAGACGGTCCCTTGAACACTGCATTCGCAGTGTAACGGCAGCTTTATAGTGCGCCTAACCGACAGGGAAGGCAGGCAATCCGCTCTGTCTCGCGTGAGTTGAAGCGTGGTGGCGCTAGTGTGCAAAAAAAGGCCCCAACCCCTTTCCGGTCCTCAACTATGACGTCGGGTTCAGCATTATCTGCGAAATCAAATATGCACGTTATATTCTGGAAATGACCGCTGCGAGAAATGGTACTGTCAGACTTAATTCACTATTACGATAAAAGAATGACGAGAAAAAAACAAGAATATATACGTGAAACCCAAGTATGCCGGGGGCTACCCAATAGATGGCGCCACTCAGTTTTTTGCCAAACGAAGCAAAAAGAGCGAATACTCCGATGACCATGCCGACTGAAGACTGAACGACAAAGTGTGCCACGATGTTCAACGAACTGGAAACGCCGCACCCGTTAACCTCGTCGTCGGCTAATCTGATTAAAGTTTGATCAACGATTGCCTTTGCAAGTGTATTGTGAGGCAGTTCAGACTTATGCCGGAATTTCTGGTAGTTTGACATAAAACGAGAACCCGAGAAAACAAAACAAAAAAACTGGTCACTGAATGGATAAGGACGGAAGAGTGCCCTTCTCCGACGCGCGTCTTCCAGCACGCGCTGGTTGTCCTCCGACATGCTTTGGCTGAGCGTGCGGGCTTCGACGCTCACGAGGCGCCGAAGCATGATCGAAGGCAGGAAGCTCGCCCTGGAGGAGAGGAAACCGAAGCTCCATCCTCCCAACCGTTTTCATCTTGTCAGTAACGGCAACACTGATGAAAACCAAAGATTCCTTCGGGTGCCTCGGGCGACATTCGTAACTTGCGCAACATCACAAGCCACAACTTAGGCGATCCCCATGCTACCGTCGGTATCCCACAGAGCAAAATCTGTGTAAAGTTGTCAGACACGCGAAAAAATACCGCCGATTGCAAAAAGATTCCCCTCCCTCCTCCTCCCCTTTCTTTTGTTTTTTTGGCGGGGTATCTTTTTGCAATAGACTTCTTCCCAAACACGAAGCGCCTCACCGTGGCGAGGTTCATGCAATGCATAGAGGGAACTAGTTGGCCATGGGGTTTTGGTTTCAATCCTTCGACATGTCGGGCGGTGTGGCCGTGTGGAGTCGTTGGCGTCGTCGCAACTGCAATCCGTGTGAGGATGGCGTTCTTTTTATTTCATTTTAAATTTTTATTTTCATTACTTGCCGATCGCGTCTGTACTTAGTGTCACTAGAGAGTTTTAGTAGATCGTGTTTTCAAGCAACGCTATGTGCAGGAGCCCGCGCTGTCGTGGGAGCTCGCGCTGCCACTTCGAAGCATGCCCTAGCCCGCGCCCAGAGCGATAGCGGGCCTCTGAAAACGATCTAATAAAGCTCACTATGTTAACATGGTATAAGCTCAAAAGCTACAGGCGCGAGTGGATAGCATTGACAGGTGAACGGCGGCTCGGCCACCCGACCACCTGTCAATAGCATTGACAGGTGGCCAGGTGGCCGAGCCACCGTTCAACTTGAGAAGCTCGCGCTCCTTTGCGCTTATCCACGTTAAGATGACATGTAAAATCGGAATGCATAATTGGAAGTTTTAGTAGATCGTGTTTTTAGGCAACGCTATGTGTAGCGGAGGCTCGAGGTGCCACTCTGAAGCATGCTCTGAAGCGCGCGCCCAGAGCGATAGGGCCACGACAGGGCGCCTCTGAACATGATTTGAAACTCACTATTAAGTGTTTGCACTACGGGGTTTTCAAATAGAGGTTTGCAATGCAACATGCAACGCTCGCGCAGTGTTGCCAGTGTTGCAGGCAGCGATTTTCGGAAGAAGTCTATTGGGGGTATTTTGTTCGCGTGTGTTGCACCTTTACAGATTTTGCTCTGCAGAATACCGGCGGTCGCATTGGGATCGCCTAACTTGTTGTGGCCAATGATCTCTACGGTGTATATCTATGCCGGCAGACCTTGCGGTAAATTACCCAAGCAGCAAGGAGCATGCTTTCGAGTGCAGCTACACGCGCTTCACGTGCTGGTGTCTGCAGCAGTAAGCCTTCTAAAGCAAAATCCTAAAACAACAGGGCATTTCACACGCGCGTTTGTCAACGCTTTATATCGGTTATTGTTTTGGAATTTTTTAAACTGGGAAGGTAAGCACGTGCGGCGCGTAGACCTAGATTTCCAGCATTCTCGTTGATGCTCGGGTAATTTAGCAATAAGTCTATTGCTGGACCGCGCTTCCACGCTTTGCGAATGTGGCCACCGGACGGCCATCTTGTGCCAACAGGAAGTCGACCGGTCGGAACGTTGCATAGGCGGGCGAACTACGTGCTGAAAGACATGTTTTCGGCTCGTTCGCCGTCATTCTCCAAACAACATTTTTTTTTCTTTTTTGCGAACGTTTGTAGTTGTCTTCGAGATTGCGCAAAAGCTTTTTTACGATAGCACAGCGCCGCAGGAAACTGGCACAACTCGTTAAACGCAAGTCTCGTGGCCTGATCAAAGAGCAAGCATTGATACGCCGAAGTGCAGCGTCTCTGCCTTCGCACGCTTGGATACAAAGGAAAAATCTACGCCGTGTGGATGCTTTTGAAGGTGTGTCGTGCGTCAATGCGTATGCCTCTGGAGCAGTATTTTTCTTTTCTCTGAAGACTGTATTTGTAACTTGCGGCACTCGCGGGTCAGAAACGAATTTATTACGTGCCGACGGAATAAAGGGCGGATGGCGCGGCGGTGGGAGCGGCGGCGATCGTTTTTTGCCTTAGAGACATTGCTATCAATGAATGCAGTAAGGCAGACATGGCCGTAACGCGTTACCAGTTACGAGTTACTTCTACCTAGTTACTTTTTTGGTAGTGAGTAACGAATCCAGCTACTTTTTTAGAGACGGAACGAGTAACCTACTTAGTTACTTTAAAGGCATTATGAACCGCAGGCACGTAGCCAAGGGGGGGCGTGCTCCCCCCGAAATTTTTATTTTGCTGGGACCTCCTCCCCCCCTCTCCCACATACAGCATTTTGTCATGGGCGCCACCCCCCCCCCCCCCCCCCCCGTAAACAAAATCCTGGCTACGTGCCTGAATGGAACCGAAATATGAATTTCAAAGAAACAATGCAGGAGATGCAGGCGAAACGCTACAATCCCTGCAGCACTACTAGTAAGGCGATATCTCGAATGGACGGCCGTAGTTTTGGAAAAAGAAGTCGAGATTGAACGACGCCGACGAGTCGCGTGACGTCAAGATATCTTGTCTCCTTCTCTCTTCGCATCGCCTCTCAAGGCGGCGAGGCGGAGAAGACGCGAGGGGAACCTCTCCTTCTCGGAGAAACAAGACGTCAACATATCTGTCAAATGCACCTCCTCCTTTTGAAAAATACGGTCATCCGCTCGAGATATCACCGTATGAGTGATGTTTTGATGTCTGTAGCATAACGTTGCACGCTTTTGCAGCCGTGTTTTGTGGAATCCAGATTTCAGTTCAGCATTGCTTTAAAGGTCAAGTAACGACTAACGGTATTTTGTTATTTCCGAGGAGTAACGTGCACAAAAGCATTTAAGCAGCCTCACCTTAATTCGAACCTGAGTATGCGTCTACGGCGACATAGGCAGATGGGCGACCCGAAAAAAAAACTGAGCAGTATGACAGATAGGAACGTTTATTGTTGAACACGTCCGTCGAACTCTTCAGCTGGGAATGTCCTTCACCCAGCGGACACAAGAGGGATCGTTGGTCTAACCTTCTAGAATTGTGTGCAGACCGAATGTAAACCCGGAGGTTGCCAACGCGGAAAGGCACACAACCCATTGTCAACTTGGAACTTTGGCAGCAGAGAGAACAGAAGAGGGGAATCCCCAATTCACCAGCTCGTAATTCCTGAAGCATAACGCTGCCGTTCCTTCGAGTGCATCAGTAGAACGACTTTTCAGCGTCGCCGGAGATGTGTTCTCAAGGAAGCGGGGAAGCATTACGGATGAAAATTTCGAGAGGCAGCTACTGCTTAAACGCAGCGACTACTAGAAGGAATACAATAAAACACGAAACAAAAGCAGCTGTGTGTTTGGTCGTGAAAGTTACGAGAAAAGTAACTCGCTACTCTTGAGGTAAAGTAACGCGTTCCTTTTGAAATCAGTAAATGAGTAATGTATTTAGTTATTCTAAATCACCGCACGTTCCACGTTGACCCTATAAACTTTATGTTACCATAGAGTCGCATTCCAAGATATTTAAACCATCTAAACTCATCTGATATAGACATTTTCAGTGGAGATTAGTGTCAATTTAAGAAGTGCTTGCGCCATGTATCTGGTTGATGTATATACGTAGTCACTACTGGGCATTTTGTTCTATTTTGTTGCTTGTACTTCTTACCTTTCTTATTCTTTATTTGTTTGTATTCTTGTTTTGCTACTAACGAGTGCACCAGCGCTTAGGCTTCGGCTGATACTGGACACAATAAATAAAAGTATTATTAATATTATAAATACCTTTCTTGGGTAACGTGCAGATGTCTGAGTAGGAAGGAACGGAAATCCATCTTCCTCTATCCCCAAACCTCCCGAACACATCCGACGCTCCTGGTTTTATTTTTCAGAAGCGGCTATATGGTTTGAAATTAACACTTAACAGCGTTACTCTGTGGTTCCATGTGACATTAGTAATTCGGATTTCTTCGAGTAGATTTCGAACATTGTTGACAGTACGCGTGAGAGCGACCACTGATCAGTGCAACTTACCAGAAGAGCTGGGTGATCCAGAACTTTCCGACCGATATGAACGCGGCAAAGATGCCTATGCGCGAAACACCTTTAAATCGGTATCCAAGCGTGCGAAGTAGAAACGCAACATTTCGACGTCCCAAGGCATGTCATTTGATCAGGCCGCGAGATTTGCGTTCGATAAGTTGCGCCATTTTCCTGCGGTGCAGCGTTTTCCTAAATTCTTTCACAAGTTCTTAAAGGAAACTACGACTGCTTACATGGCTTTAAAATTACTTATTTGGCGAATAACGGCGAATGAGCAGAGAATGATTGTTCCAGCACGCCGCCGCCCGGCTTCTGCAACTCTCCAAAAGGTCGACTTTCCGTATGCACAATATGGCCAATACTAAACTTCCAGTGGCCGGATTCGCGCTGCAGTGACCAAGGGAGGAAGCGCAAGACAGCGAATTGTCATAGAGGTCAGCAGTTGGGCCTCGCGCTCTTGCGCATGTCGTCTGAGGGACCCGAAGAAGTCTTCGATACTCATCAATGCCACCCTCCAGCCATTTTGCATTCCACTTTCTTTCTGTTGCATTCCCCTATTCAAAAAGCATGTTTGTTTGTTTTTTTAGCAGGAAGCAGTTCGTCGTCTTGTTCGTCTAACATGTAGCACTGCTGTCATAATCGCATATCGCCAATTCATGTACGCTTCCGTTTTCCTACTATCGCCAGCACCTCCGAGTACCGTTGTCGAGAGTACGACCGCTAAATGTGTCTAATAACACTGACATCCCTCTCGGCGAGATGCTGGGGAGGGAGCCCTTCGGGTTCCGCCGGTTGCTGACGTCACGCTGATCCTTCCCTGAGAGAGCTTACCCATCTGAATACACCTTTAGGTTGTCGAATTAAACAAGTGGGTAATTAAAAGGCAGTTTTTCTATATGGCGTATGCAATATGTGGGGCTGATGGTGCGGATCTCGTAATCATATTGAGGTCACATGTCCCGGCCTATCCACGCGACTTCACGCGCGTGAACAGAACGTTCTTGAACATATGGCGTCTTGCACGAATTATCGTTGTTTCCAAAGTAATTTAGAGAAGGTCAATTTTTAGAGTTTTCGCCTTGAAGCTCCTTTAAGGCAAGCACAGCTATTTAGAGCGCGCAGTTACCGGTGCCGCAAAGAGTAAAAGATATTTACCCATCATATACTTTATAAAGTATTGACTCATGACCAAACACAAGAACATACAGCATGCATTCAAATGTAACTTCATGACGCCCCAAAAAAATACCCCTAGTTAAAATAAGCTATTGAATGTTCACAGGACTGCATTGCCCCGTCTTCAAAGTTTTTCATACCTCTTTGACGTTTCGATGCCCGTGCTTGTGCAGGAAGTCGCGGAACTTCTCCCCGCACAGATTTTCCACGGTCATCAGCCATTCGCACGCTTCCTGCAATTTAGGAGTCAATTGTGCTGAACAAGTTTATGATCGTCGCCACACGTCGTACCTATACAGCTTCAAGTGTTTGGCGGATAGAAAGCACATAATTAAAAAAAGATACCAACTCCAACATTACAATTTGTAAATGCCTGGGTAAAATTCAGGTGTATCAAGTTTAACGTCTTCCTGCCATAAAAGTATCCTTATCCTTTCGCAATATATTCGTCGCAAGACATACGTTAAGTTATAAGCCATTTAGAAACGTGTTGCTATTTCAACTTGTCAACCGCTAATAGAAGATTGTTTTTAGTCGCCCTTTGGTACATTAAGTTGTAAAAAAAACTCCTAAATGCCGGAATAGGACAAGTATCAAAAAGATACCTTTCCTCCCCGAAAACAATTTTGTCCAATATTTAAGTTGCGAGATCGATTTCAATTCAGGAGCGACTCCGCAATATGTTTCTATTTCGAAACGTCTACTCAGATATAGAAGCATGTTTTGGAATCGGTCAATGAGTGTCGCGGAGTAAATATTGCTCTATTTTATATTTTACTCTTTTTTTCATTGATAGTTCATTATGTGAGGGGGGTCTTTTATGCAGGCCCTTAAAAACGTGTTTTCATAGTTCAATGTCCCTTGAAATTTCGAACGCACGACGGTTAGGACTGCGCACGCAGATGAGACGCTCTATGACATGTGAAGATAGATACAAAAAACTCAGGCAAGCTGGTGAATGACCTCCACAGTAATCCTGATAGACACTTCGTTGTTCTGTCCGTTTTTTATTGGTCCTAGATCTCAGGGATATTATAAAAGCTCTGTGACATGTTTGTTTGCTCGAGGCAACAGTTTTCGTAGCCTTGAACCTTATCGATAATATGGCGCTTGCCTTTCATTGCAAGTCCTAGTTATCACATAAAATTCCATGTTATCACAACTTATGTTGTAACTCCTTGTTATCAATTCTATGTTACAGCTTCTTTCCGAAAATGGGCAGAGGTGCTTTAAATGCCGACGAACAACCAGAAAAGAGAAAACTCTCCCTCAGCTCCTTTTTTTTATTCGAGAAAAAGGAATACCCTTCTCTTATCTGCGGGGATTAGCTGCAGAGACCCGTTTTTGTGAGGGGAGGAGGGGAGAAGAGCGCGAGAGGGAGTGGAGAAAAGAAACTGGGGACCGGTTTTCTGCCGGCAGATGCGGATTCTGTAGGTTGGCCTCTAACTGAAGTGGCTAACCGAGGTCATGAGGATCTCTTTAGTTAGAAAACCCTCACTTCCCTATTGACAGACAGTCTCATGCAGTCTTGTACACGTTACTAAAAAAAGTAATCGGTTACAATTACTATTACACTTGGCTAAAAGTATTCGATTAGATTACTTGATTACTCAACGGCAAAAGTAATTGGACATTACTTAAAGAAGTAATCGTTACTTTTCCGATTACTTTATTGTGCGAAGACTCATCTTTAGCGCTCATAACAATGAACTAATTCCAACCTATATTTCACATTTGCAAAAGTATTGAAGAAGAAAAACTGGCTCCCTCTTCGTGGTCGTTGCACCTTCACAATGCGGACACAAGCATAAAATTCGTTTGACGACGTTTAATGATTTGGGCGTTCGCCAGTGTGCGTGTGTGTGTGTGGGGGGGGGGGGGGGGGGGGAAGCGGCGGGGGTTCTAGATCTTGTTAAGCTTGAGCAAGTGTTGTCGCTCAAAGTTTGCGTCGCTCATTTTATTATTCACATGTGGATGAGCTCGCATGGTATATAAAAGTGCAGTAGCTCCAGGATTTGAAACGGATCATGTGTAGTATCCATTAGCGGAAGAGATCGCCCCGACCACTTCTCAACTCCAAACATTGCTTGTCACAAAACCCACGTAGGGGAAATGGGGAAATATTTCAACTGCCTTTGTTATATTTTGCATCCGCTTTAGGCATCCTTCGGTTCTGGTTCTCCTACGGGCTGCGAGTAGGTACCCTAAGCAGGATTTGTTTTCATTTTTTTTTCTCTGTGTGCGTGCGTGAGGGGGCTAGTTTGAACGAAGGACTCACACAGCTACATTCTGCTTCTTCAAACTTTGCCCTGAATGGCCTCTATCACGCACTGTGACTCCCCTGGGGCTTCCCACATCCCAGTCCCAGCTCGAAAAAAAAAAAAAAAAAAAAAAGGACATTTCACAGAAACTGTACATAGAAAGAGATTGACCTCGTTTCCTGCAGCTCCGCAGAAATCTTTCTTTTTTCCGTTCGAAAAAAAAAATTTATTTTTGTCATTTCATAAAAAAGAGGCGTACGTGGCCGGGGGGGGGGGGGGGGGTCGCGTGGACAAATTGTAACGGTTACAAGTAATTTTATTACTTCAAAAAGTAATCAAATTACTCTTCTGATTACTGCCTAATAAAAGTAATCAACTGATTTCAAAATTACTCCAAAAAGTAATCGATTACAAGTAATTTGATTACTCGTAATGCGTACGGTACAAGGCCCACCATGATTTTGAAAGGTCGTCACGTACCCTTCAACAATCTCTGAGAGGTCTCAAATCTCTTTCCAAGTTTTCTAGTCGGCTGCGTAACCTTCAAGGATTTCTGATTAATGTGAGTAACCCGTCATAGTTTTAGGAGAGCACTTTGGGGTCCGTTGCATGTTGATTCAGAAAGCTACGTGACCCAATAAAAACATTTTAACGGATCTGTGGGAGAAATCACGTGACTTTTCAGGATATGTGTGTAAGGGAAGCCGCTATGACATTTTGTACTGGGCGACAGCAGCGAGCGGTCGCTCAGTGTCTGTTTCCTGTACCAAGTGTGGGATCTATTTTCTGGGGCAGCTCAGGGTGCGGATAAGGCAGAAGGTCTCTCGGTGCCCTGTTTCTTGCGCTTCTTTGGACGTCCGGCTTCAGAAGATCGTCCAGGGAGCGAAAACAACGCCGGAGACGCCACCGTGACGGCACCAGCGACAACAGCGTGACCTTGCTTGGGGTTTCGTCAACGGTGACCGATGTGGGTTTCGCGTTCGTGGTTTTTACTGAACGTGTTGCCGATAGTGTATGTGTGTGCGTGCGATGCACATAAGAAGTTTTATAAGTTGAACTACCGTAAATCTTAGGAATTTACCCAGCGGCATTGTAAGTACCTTGAAAGATATTTTAGCAACAAGGAAATAGGCTGCTGCTCTTTGGTCTGACTGCTTCGGTCTACAGCTGCTTGCGCTCGGGTTACAGTAAACGGTGGTTCTTATCGTATTTCTGCGTTTAAACATTCATGTAAAACTCAATCTAAAAAAACATGGAGGACGCTTAAGGGTCGCTTTTAAGAGTACATATAAGCCCGCGCTCGTTCCCAAGCCCTGCAAACGTGTGTGAGTTGCCTAGTCAATATTGTCACGTGTCACGAGACGCCACATGACGTCACACGTGGCTCCGACGTCATGACCCTATGGACTGGCCTAATCTTTTCCCCGAATTTATCCGGTCGATATGGGTGATGACGTTACAGTCACGTGTGACTTCACACGTGACGTCACACATGGCTGCACGCGTTGTATTATCGGACTTTTAAGGTCCCACCGACGCCGTATTTTCTGCGACACAAGCTCCTAAATACCATCGCGTTAACAGACATTAAATCATGTTGTAAACAACGGCATTTTTGGTCTGTGGTTCACAGTCATTTGGGCGTATAAAGGGTTGAAAGGCTGCGCAGATCTAAAGAACTGAAATGTCTAGAGAAATAAAGGGGTTTGAAGGGCTGAAAAGGTTTGAAAGGTTTCAGGATGTGACTGGATGAAGGGGTTTGAAGGGCTGAGAGAATACCATTATACATCAAGGCTGAAGGGTTATTTTCAATAGCCTTACCTCAATGGACATGCTGAGGAAGTTCTCCTTGTCTGTAGATGCCGCCAGGAGGGTTCCCAGTTCCTGTGAAATTTTTTTATCATATAGTGCATTATATATAACACGTGGCTGGGGAACTGTGGAACGCATTCTAGGCATGCGCAGTAGCTCTGCTTTGAGAATATCAGACACCGGGCATGCGTCCGCAGCCAAGTGACTCAGCACTTTTTCGCCTGGGTGATAACCGCTGGAACAGTGTGAAAATGCAAATAAAAGGGACTTTTTTTGTAAACAAAACAATCAGTTCCCATTTCCATTATAACACGTGGACAGCCAATTGTTGCGGCTTGTGGAAAAGACCAACTAATCATAAGGCCTAGCTAATTTGATATCAAAACCGGTTTTCTGTGCTTAAGGGCTGTGTATGAAAGTGACGGCCTCACTAATTCAAGGGATGTTTAAGTGCTCAGATGTAGGAACGTAGTCATTCATGTTCTGTCTATAAATACGCCGCCTTATTTAAATGAGCAACAGCAGGTGACAATTAATAAACAAAGTAAAACGGAATCATATTAGTATGGGTTTCATTTCGGATATGGGCAATCAAATACAAATTCATATCTCTTTTTTGTAGTCTCATGTCAATTGCGACTTGTGTTGTATTGCTACATAAATATATAGCGATTTTAGTTTCGAATTACATTTTGGGGGTTTTTGTTTTTGCAGGCGATTCAAACTATAATTGTATTAGTATAGTATCATATGGAAATATGTTTAGAGATAAGACTGCTATAGTTTAGCTTTACTATAACTTTTACAATTTTGTAAAAAAAAACTAGTATTTTGTTTCACATTTCGTTCCCTATTACCACAGCTGTAGTTCGAAGGAAGTTGATAAGCACGCCAGTTACGCTATAAAAAACGTCAATATGCACAAGGTACATAACAAATCAAAAACAGTTTTTTTTGTTGTTTAAATTGTGGTTGATTCGAACTTCTTACGCCAACCTTTCAAGACATGACACTAGGACGAAAAACGGAACGCAAAAACAGGTTTAAAAGTTGAGTGGCGAATGAGAGAACGAGATCAAATAAAAGACTCCAAACAACCCCGGCTCCGGTAGGGGTAGCCCGCGAAATCAATGATTCTCGGTCGTATTCCTCGACTGCGTCATCTGCTGTCGACCGTTTCACCTCGACACCGCCTCTCGCGATCGCGTGGGCCGCTTTTATTATCATCCTCCATGACCATCCGCGCGAAGCGCGCTTTGCGCGGGTAGGCGTGCTCAGTCGCCCACTTTGATGATGGTAACAGTGACAGATTACGGTGACAACTGTTCCAAAATAGCCGATGAACACGCGTATGGTCGTGACGCAGCGCTGAGTACCGTAAAGGTTCACGGAGGTTACTCACAGATGGTCGATTGTCAACTCGGTAGTCTGTTACACTGTTATGAAGCTGATTGTCTTGAAATAACATTGAATGTATGGGGTACATCACGGTATGCAAAACCAAAAGTCCAACGCGACTTGGCTGTCGCCTTTTCCAACGAGATACGTTTAAAACACTTAAGTATCATCATCCTAACCAGAATCAGCTTTTTTCTTCTTTTTTTTTTAAATACGATTTGACCTTATTATTACAAGCGTCCTGAAACTTGCCTGAATGCTTCTTGGTACTTCAGCACTCTCTACGTCCCCTCCTATAAGCATCTTGGAGAATTCAGCAAACACTTGGGGCGTGAGATCTGAGTAAGCAGAAACAAGCAAGGGTTCGTCTTCAATGAAAAACCATCCACAATGACGTGCAAACTATAATTAAACAAAATACCGCTTTATCTCTCAATGAAGTATTTGGTCTCATGCAACTAACTTTAAACAAAAAAAAAGCATGAGATTTTTTATATTTTATTTTATACTTTTAATTGCCCCTACAAGGGCTTCATCGTATAACACTTCTCCGCACTCATATTACTTTTTTCACAAAATAAAAAGATTTCACGCTAACTCATACTATTCTACGGTTAAAATGGTTATTACTCGAAATAAGGGTGCCCAAAGGGTGTAAGCTTGAGCCTGAACACCCCTTTTTATGCCCTTACGAGTGCCGCTTTTTCTCACGTGTAATACGCTAAAAATAATGGAGGGCAGAGAAAAAACAAGCCAGGGCTTGGCATAATAGGCAACGCGTAAGTTTCTTGTTTGTTTCTTGATTGCTCTCTGCGAACAACAAGCTTCAGCGCCTATTGTAATGAAGAGTGCGAAGAAGCGAATCAATTCGACGGAAAGAAGAAAGAAAACCTGCGCGCCGCTTTTGTACGACACCGCAAGCTCTGCTAAACCCTTCCCGTGATATTACCGATCGATTTCACTTCCGCGTTCCCCTCACGTTCGCTTCAGATTACCAGATACGTAAAAATGTCACGTTTATTTCCGAAAAACAAAAATGTCAACACATTTCTGAGATACGATGTCAGCTTTATATTTTGTTTCTGAAGGTATACTTTCCTATATAGACGTATTGCGTGTTTCAAATTTCCTGCGGCGTTTCGTAATCAGATTTACAGGTTATTTTATTCCTGTTTCGTTAAAAGTGAGACAAACGTATACCTCTACCTTGCTAGAGGAGGTGATATAGGAGTTCTTTCTACGCCATTTTTCTTTTTTTCTTTTTTAAAGCAACACTTTCTATATTTTTTTTCATTGAGGAGATAGTTTCGATTCGCCGTCAGATACAATATATTTTGTTTTTCCAGAAACCGTTTTTTTTTTTTTAATATAGGTTTAGTCAAAAATATTTGTAACGCTAAACAAAAGATTCACCACAAAGTGAAATAAACGGCGAGAATGCGGTTACCCCTAGATGTGACAGAAAACGGACCGAACTAGATTGGAAAACGTTGGTTTTGTTTTCAGCTTTCCAGTCTGGTAAGTTATTCCATTGATACCTTCGCACAACAGAAGTACTTTTGCGGACACTATTAGCTATAACACGGGAGCCGTGGCCGTTCGCCGTGGCCGTTCCGTGCTCCCGGCGCCGCATAAAAGGGGCCCCCTGAAAAACCGCGCCTACCCCGCCTACCCTGTGCGGCGGAAGTACGGTTTCAGGTTGCGACAACCGTCTCTCTTTGACGCCCGCTAGGCGCAAAGCAGACGCCGCCACTGCCCTTGCCGATATTTGCTTCACAGCGCTTCGGGGGTGCCTCTTTCGGTACGGAGATTCTCTGACTTAGGGAAACGAGTCAGCCAAACATCCAACAAAAGGGACATACTAAGTCAAGAATACCCGTTGCCGATGATTGTAAACACGTCTCTCGATATAGTACGTTTATTAATCAGAAATAAACATTTTCGTGTTTTCTTTTTTCTCTTGTGTCAGAATTGCCACCCTAATTATGCTTAGCTCGGTATGTACCCATCGGCGGATCATTTGTCCGACTCGTTACCTTGAGTCAGGGAATCTCCGTACCAAAAAAGGCACAAACAAGCCTGTGAAGCAAACCTCAACAAGTGCAGTGGCGGCGTCTGCTTTGTACCTTGCAGACGACAAGGAGGAAGTGTTATCGCAACATGGGACACTATGCAAGACGGAGGAGGAGAAGCGTTGTAATAGAGGTTGGGGGGGAAAGGAGAGAGCCAATAGTGTGTACTATGCAAGACGGCTTGACTAAGGAACCGGGACATGGCCGCCTGCTGCGATTGGTCAGCGGCGTCGCCAGCGGTCGGCCTTGTTCCTACCTTTTCATCCCGCCGTCTTGCATAGCCCCCTCTAGAAGAGTAATTCCGCCGCTCAGGGTAGGCGGGGTAGGTGCAGTCACAGCCTTATATGGAAAGAGTGTGGTTATACATGCGAAGTGCAGGAGGCAAATGAGGGGGCGCCATTGATCGAAAGTCGGCTGGGAGTGTTCCAGGGCCTCTCCACAAATTCGAACGTGGCGTGCCAGAAGTCGCGAATAATATCCTGGCGGTGGTCGCGAGAAACAAAATTAATAAGTGCGTCGGAGTAACTCTCGGTAATTGAAAATCAGTTGCGCGTGATTTTTCAATCACGGTCATGCAAAATAAAAATCTAGCAGAACGATCGACGTAATCCGTACCCCAGGCGCCGAGGACCGGGAACCTGGCGTCCAAGCGGTCAAACACCGTCCGAGAAAAACAGAGTTTGAGCGGCACATTCCATTCTTACATTTTTTGCATGATCATAATCGAAACATCACGTGCAGCATATTTTCAACCACGAAGAGTTGTATATTTAACACTTACCGCAAATTAAACTGGTTCTCGCTACCACCGCTAGGGGATACTTTTCGGCTTCTGGTTGGCCAAGAGAGCATGCCAAGCGCTTTTTCTGAGTCTGGTGCACGTCCTGACTCTGGCCGCTCCTTCCATTGACCAGTCTCAACGTACATACGGCTCTGGGTGCGGTGTTTCAGAGTGCCCCTGTTATCTAGCGCTGGGGGTACGGAACAAGTCAGCGTTGGCCCCCACCAGGGTCCAGAAACATGATTCGCGCGAAGTGGAGCGTTAGAACAAGCGCCGCTCCGACGCCAGCTCTACAGCAGTGACGTGCCGCCAGAGTCGGATTGGTGCATACACCGTTCCCATAATTCGCCTTCTGTCCTGCGAGCTGCGACCTTTGCCTACCGGGTTCGCAATTACTCGTGCATCGCAGCAGAAAGCCGCGCGAGCGCCAACACCCAGCAACTCCTGTTTTCTTTTCTTGTTTTTTTTTTTTTATTGAGTGATAAGCATTGGAAAGGTGCATACGTACCGCCGCTGGCAGCCGCCAGTATCCTTTGGAGGATGAGGTTGTACATGGAGGAGCTGGCAAACGCGGAGACGAGGACGCCGCTCGGCTGTCAAACGCACGCAAAAAAAAAAAACACATGAACATAGAGTTTACTCGGCACTTACGAGGCTTACAAAATAGTTATATAGTTTTTGTCACATCGTGCGTGACGATGCGGTCTCAAAGTCTAGATGTACAAAAAAAAAATTGGGTTATGGGGTTATTTATACAGCGTGTAGTTCGTCAGCCATTAAAGTAGCGACGAGTCACACGCTGTAGATGAGCAATTTAGCCAGTGCAGTACAACCGCTAGCCTGGGGTCTTTAACGTACACCACGTAGTAGTGATACACGAGCGCACGCCCGCACGATGCTCATCCAGATCGAAACGGGCAGAGGTGGGGGCTTGAATCCAGCATCCGTGGGTTCTGCAGCGCGAGTTTCGCTCCACGCGCGTCGAGCTGGGTGTGCGCTGTAGCCCACTCGGCCACCGATCCCCCCCTTAGAAGATGTACACCCGCAGGCGATATGAAGGTGAACGCCGGACCGTCGACTGGTCCGTGCTATCAGTGCCATGACGGGGCTGCCGTGGTGGCTCGCTTTCTTACCTCGCGCTTCACCGACAGTAAGTGCCTGGATCGAGCGCTGTTCTCAGCTCGTCTGCTACTCTCTGCTGAAAGCGTAGAAGTGGGTTTCGATTTCGGCATCGCTTTTTGTGGTCGCCATGCCATGCCCACGTCATTGACGGTAAATGATTTAGACATTGCACATGAACTAGAGCGGACGTTGTTTTGCATGGTTTATACGTGACTCAACCGCTTTCTTCATTCATGGGCGATCGCTAATAACTGCAACAAATGTGAAATGGGCTGTGATTCAGCAATAAAAAAGTGAAAGCCGTTTACAACTCCCTGTAACGCCGAATTGGAGCGCAGCTCTTGAGGAGGAGGAGGGAAGGGTACTGAGGGGAGGGTAGACCCCTCCTCCTCCTCCTCCTCCCCTCATTCTTCATTATGCTCCGGGGGGGGTCACCTGACCTCGGGGAAAGGGGGTCACATGACCTCGTGGGGGGTGTCACGTGACTCCGGGGGAGGGGGGTCACGTGACCTCGGGGAGGGGGCACGTGACCTCGGGGGTCACGTGGGGCTCACCTTGGAGGGTCACATGACATTGAGGTGACCTTGGGAGGGGTCACGTGACCTGGGGGGGTCACATGACCTGGGGGTCACGTGACCTTGGGGTGACCTTGGTTACGGCGACGCCTCTAAGCCGGAAACGGGCGCCTAAGAGCGGCGCTCTAATATTGCCGCCCGCAGGGCCGAGCAAGCAACGCTCAGTCACGGGCTTTTAGAAGATTCGCGTTTATTCTCGCACCAGACGCAACATTCCCCCTGCTTTCTTGTTCTCGAAAGTGCCAGGTCATCCTCACCACGAGCGCGTGACGCTCGAACTTTCTTTGCCGAACTTCCGAGATAGTGACGCCCTGTTGATAAGCAGCTGCCTGCGACCTCGTCGATTCAGTCTCGCTCTCGCTCTCTGTTACGCCGCCGAATCGCCGACTCCTTTTCTGCTGCCTCCACGCTCTTTCTTTACTTATTTTGTTTGGCACAAATTCGCCTATTAAACCTTTATTTTTCAGTTCACTGTTCGTCTTCGAGCGCTTCAGCAGAAACGCCACCTCGAGTCCTAAAGGATGAGCGCGTCCAGATCACTGTCCTTGCTCAGGAAGGGCTTTCACAGCGGGAAATGTCACACAGAGTTGGAAGGCCCGTCCAAACCGTCCAAAGGATTATTTCAGCATTTCGGGATGACGATGGACGCTTGGACGATGCCGCCCGCCGTCGCCGTCCCCGCGCAACTACAGCAACAAAAGACGGTCCCATCCACGAGGCAGCCTTGGACGACCCTTTCTGCGCTGCCAGGGATATCAGGAACGCACTGGAACTCGAGATCAGCGACACTGCTGTTCGGAGACGCCTCTACGATGCTGGCCTACACAGCCGCGTAGCTTGCCAGTCGCTGCTGCTGACGGAAAGGCACAAGCAGCTGCAGCTTGACTTTGCCCATTCTCTTCAGTATTGGACTGTGGAGGACTGGACCCACGTCATCTTCAGCGACGAATCTACGTTATGCACTCAGTTAGACCAGCAGAGGCGAGTTAGGAGGCCTGACAACTTCCGGTAAGCTTTATCAGACCTTTAAGATAATAGACAGTATAAATTTCTTTCCCCCTCCAACGTCCAAGGCCATTAGTGACCAAGACTTTCTGAGAAATCATCAGTGGTCAGCTATAAGCTTCCCGACCGCCGCTAAAGCCTGAAAACTAAAAATAAATATTAGCCTTACCTGAAGTAATAATAGCTAAGTTCAACGGTAACTAAAAGAGACAACAACGCTTCTATTGCCTTGCAGATACGACCCTCACTTTATCCAGAAAGTGGCCGCCAGTGGTCGTAGGTACGTGAATGTCTGGGGGGGGGGGGGGGGGGGGGGGGGGCATATCCATCTTCAGGATCGACGGGCGCCTGACGTCGGAAGTTTGCTCGGACATAATTGACCACGTCTTGATGCCCTACGTCCTAAACGGGACCTTTCCTGATGGGCACTTTTGGTTTCAACACGACCCGAGTCCCAACCACAACTCCCGTTTCACCAAGACGCTTCTTGCTGAACAATACGGGAGCTGCCATGGCCTCCCAAAGGCGCTGACGTCAATATCGTTGAAAACGTCTGGAGCATCATAAAGTCAAAACTGGCCACTCAAGAGCTTCACAGAGCATCTCCAAATGAACTCTATGGAAGCCGTCCAACGAGAGTGGAACGACCTGCGCGAAAACGACGACCTGGGCCCGTTTGCTCGAAGCGCTAACCGCGGCTAAAGTTAGCCGCAGTACCTAGGAGAGGGATTTTTTTAAATCACGTGACTGGCTCGGTAGGGATGCGGGGAAACATGGCGGTGCACCAGTGAGTGAGCGCCGCTCGCTTTGGAACTAATATATCGTTGTAGCTGCAATACCGGGCGCGTTAGTCAGCAACGAATTGTGCAGGAGGCTTTCGCTTTGCTTTACCTCACTTAAACCACAAAGCATGGGCAATGACATCGCCGCATTTTTTAGATAGTCTTTCGATTCTGGGCATTCCTAAGCCTAAATGAACGCGATAATTGTCGGCATGGCAACCTTTGGAAAGCAGATTGATGATAGCACACAGAAGCAGACCGCGTCCCAACAGACCTTTTTTCTAAATTATCTAAGCACCGAGGTGCATGCTACGACTGTAGTTGCACGCGTCGCACGTGCTGGCGTCTGTAGTAGTAACCGTTCTAAAGCAAAAAGTATAAAACAAATTTTGCATTGCACGCGCAATCGTTAAAGCCTTATTATGATTTTTTACTTCGAATCTTTTATAAGAGGAAGGCCAGCGGGCGTGGACCGTAGAATTACACTTCCAGCGTTCTCCTCGCGATGCTTGGATAATTTAGAAGAAAGTCTGTTGGGACGCTGTCTGCTTTTGTGTGCTATCAGTACCCGGCCGATTGAGTCGAGGCAATCCGCTTTCCAAAGACGTTGCCATGCCGACAATTATCGCGTTCATTTAGGCTTAGGAATGCCCAGAATCGAAACACTATCTAAAAAATGCGCCGATGTCATTGCCCATGCTTTTCGGTTTAATTGAGGTAAGGCAAAGCGAAAGCCTCCTGCACCATTCGCTGCTGACTAACGCGCTCGATATTGCAGCTACAACGACATATTATTTCCAAAGCGAGCGGCGCTCACTCGCTGGGGCGCCGCCATGTTTCCCCGCATCCCTACCGAGCCAGTCACGTGATTTCAAAATCTCTCTCCTAGGTACTGCGGCTAACTTTAGCCGCGGTTAGTGCTTCGAGCAAACGGGCCCTGGTGTTCCACCTCTACGGAAGTCTGCCGCGCAGGATTCAATCTTTGATTCACGGAGAGGGAAACTTTTCAAGATACTAAGGCCCCGCTCAAATACCACAAAGATTGTCGGACGTCAAACCGGAACTGTAAAGAATGAAAAAAAACGGGACAGGCTTCCTGTCTTATGTTTTGCTTAACCGTAAGTCAGAATCCCATTAAAAGAATGACTGAAATTGCGAGCTGCCCTATGTTTAATGGCGTTCGCGATCGACGCGTGATCGTGTGACATCAGCACACGTGCTTTAAAATGAAAAAAAAATCATCGCTCCACGATAGCCCTCAGTATTAAGTAACGTGAATCATATATCTGAAATCATATATAACTAATTGGGGGAGGAGGGGGGGCTTGCATGCACATTTCAGCAGAGCCCTAACTGCTAACAAATTTGTTTTGCGTGCTGTGCAAAGTGTTAAGCATCAAAAGAAATATTAATAATGATGCCCTCTCTGAAATGTGGGTCATATAACATCGTCGCAAGTGCGACGCGGTTGCCTCACATCACACAAATGAAAAAAAAAATCGTGTTCTTTTCAAGAAGTGGAAAGTATAATTTACGTTTTGATTTGTTCCGCAGCCTCCCGGTTTAGCACATATCACAACGAAAAACTGATAAAACACATTGTCTACCGATAGCGTCTGAAAGGCTCCTTCCCCAATCCTCGCGCTTTCTGCGGGGAGTAGCAGCAGAGCTGAGAACAGCGCTCGATCCAGGCACTTCCTCTCGGTGAAGCGCGCGATAAGGAAGCGAGCCGCCACGGCAGCCGCGTCATGGCGCTGATAGCCCGGAACGGTTGACGGACCGGCGTTCACCTTCATGTCGCCTGCGGGTGTACAGTGATGGACGACTTGAACCGAAACGATCGAAATATTAGGGAGTTTTAGAGAACCGTTTTCGCACATCCGCTACGGTACGATGGGCCCTCCGGTACGCACTGCGCATGCGCCACCACAGGAGACTCCCATATGCACAGTTCGTACCGGAGGGCCTATCGTACCGTATCGGATGTGCAAAAGCGGTTCCCTAAAACTCCCTATTAAGGTGGCGCTACCCCCGACGTGACAGGATTCACCTTACCCCGTTTTGAGATTAGGACCGACCACACTAGCGCGTTTTGGGAAGCACTTTATTGTAACTTGCATTCGCTCGTTGCTCTCACGTGCTCAATCTTGTCGCCGCCTTCATTGGGGACTTTTAGCGAACCGTTAGCGTGTTCCGCGTACCGCACTGCGGGAGCCTTTGATGCATGTTTTTAAGCGCGCGCTCGAGGTATACCGTGACCGCGGGGCGCGCGCTGAAAAGCATGCATCAAAGACACCGGTAGTGCGGTACGCGGAACACGGCAACTGTCTGCTAAAAGTTCCTAGTATCTGGGCGCGTTGATTCCGGTGGCGGGTAAATAATTCGTCAAATGTCTGAACCAGCAAAGGTGACAATACCTGCCTGGGCGCGAGGCGGTGCCCATGCTCGGCAACAGAGCGCCGCCCTCGAGCCTGGCCTATTTCTTTATTTGCCCTCGCATTCAACGCAAGTCTTTTAGTCGGTACTTTATTTTCTCCTCCTGTTTCTGGTTTGTTCTTGAACGCTGCGTCTTTCTCTGGTGAGAAGACAACGCTCTTGTTGGACTACCTCAGCGTGGGAGCGCCGCGGCACGCTACCCCCCGCGCCCGCTCGGATCAATCTTCTATTCACAGTGGGGCGCAGTGACGCGAATATATACCCTTTGTGCGAGTAGCACATGAACCTGCCCGCCGTAAAGGATCTGTGCCGATTCATGAATGGCTGAATTTAGCATGGGATAATTGCAGGAAATGGTGTCTTGTTGAAATTATTGAAAAATCGTTTGAACGAAGTGCAATGAAACTTTTCAGACGTGTGTTTTCAAGTGGTGCATTTATTACGCTCAAATTTTATAAGTGCAGGTTTCATTAAAAAAAATAATAAACATAAAAAGATACATTTTTTGTCTACTTGTACACAGGGAGCAAAACGGTAGAAACCGTTTTCTGGACGCTGCGACTCACAGTCGACAAAACGTAAAGCAAAAATGTGAAAGCATTTTTGTTCAGCTGAACCCCCGAAGGCAGTTCTAAGAGATCCGATCGCGTGTGCGCTGTAGCGTCAACCAGATAGTTTATTTTAATTATTCTCCCTCTCATGTGAAAGACAACATATTCTTTTTCCACTCATTTCTTCTTTTTTTTCCGAAACCCGCTATCATGAAGGGTGAGCGGGATAAAGTCAACACTGAAAGAGACTTTTTCGAAAAGCTTCAGTACACTCCGGTCATTGGTTTATATAAACGAACTATGTCACGGCCGAATCACGCTGGGAAACAACCCGTACAATTTCCCAGGATTGATTACCCCGACTAGATACAGATCTTCACGAGGCATACCTCCCGAAGGTGATGGAGGCTGTTGCTCAGGTAGGTGTACATCTGGGAGGCAGACAACATTCCATCCACGGACAGGTGAAGGTCCCGAGTCGCCGCCGAAATTCGTTTCAACCGCTTATTCGTGGTGAAGAGCATCTGAAAACGAGATGGGTTTCAGAGGCCGTACACTAATTGCATAACAACTGACAGAACCAAATTTAACGCTGGGCGAGTACGAAAGTGCTCACTGTATCTTCCTTTAATGTAGAACGACGCAAAGACGAACTCGAGCATGTATTAAAGAACAAAATGAGTTAAAGACTATGTCTGTACCAGTTTATATGTATATACATATTCTTTGCTCCTTGGCTAGAATAAAGCTATTTGCTTAACGTTAGAGAACAATAGCTAGTTATATAGGAAAATTGCTTTGATTGTATTTCTTTAGTAATGTCTAATTGAAAGAGGCTCCACCAGTAACACGCCAACAGTGTCAGCTCAGAGATCCCAAAGCCGCAAGCTGGCATGTATACAGTTGTCATTCACATGCTTCCATTGCATTTGGCAAACTTGTCATGCTGGTTTATCGGTTTGGTTGTACCCTTAAAGTAGATATATTTGGGGGGGGGGGGGGGGGGGGGATATGAGGTCGACGCAAATACAGCACGAAACATCATTTTAAACTTTAGGTGGAAAAGGGTATAACAGGTTGAACATCTTCGTGTTCTTTATAGTATCAATCTCGCCGACAGGCTCCAGTATTTTCTGGAGATATTATAGTAGACAATAAATGAGAGACGGTTGACTACATATTAAGTTCAGAAGCCAACCGTATTGCATAAATCATTTATTCTCAAACCGCCTAAAACTTTTTTTTTATTCTTTTTAGAAAACAAAGGAGCCGTTGAATGAAATGACTGGTAAAAATATTTAAAAACCATTTTATGAATGAAAAAAACGAGGTGAGACCAAATCTACTGAGAGAGGGTGGTTCTGATAAAACCTCGCACATCCAAGGAAAATACCTTAAACCACATTTTCATAAACGGTATATTGTAGTAAACAGAGCGCAGTCAGAAAAAATAAAACCAAGAGCTTCCGTGTAACAAATTATTAATTGGTACTTTGTAGGCCTGGCAGAGTAATCACATGAAGTTAAAATTGTGTGCTCGGCCCGTAATAAGGCTTATTCCCTATGCCGCAGGATCAATCAGACACGAACGAACAGGAAAGACATGTGTGACACCCGACACGGGACAAAATACCTTTCGTGCCAAAAAGGAGTTATTTACAGCATACCGTTAACATCTGGACGATGCTATATTGCACAGACCGGGAGATGCATAAACGAACGTGCACGAGAACATGTGGCCAACGTTAAGAATCTCGCGGGACCAGGACACCTCGTTGCCAATTGTCGAACTTGCAATTGTGCTAACCAAAGCTTGAGCAAACCAGCGCAAACCAGCATCATAGGGCACCATAAAAAACACCTTGCAAGGTAGATGTTGGAGGCCTGGGTTATAGACAACGAAGAAGAAAACTGTGTAAGCTTCGCCTCAATAACCCTGCAACCGCAAGAAAAGCCCTTTCTAAAGGGCGCCCTCTCTGCTAAGGAAAATATAAATGAGGAAAAAATCGATACGCATAAGATTTAGTAGAAGAGGAGGACGATTTATTAAAATAGTTGGTAGTCCAGCGATTGGTTGTCTTTTCTCTTTCTCCTTCCTTGATTGTTCAGCAGGTTCTACTCGTAATGTAACAGACGAACTTGCGCGCCGCATACATAGGGCAGCATTTTTCGGTATACAAGGGTATGCGGCCACAGATTGAGAAAAAAAGGAGTGGCTGAGAGTGCGCGAGGATGTCAAAACACCAAGCTCCGATTAGAATGATTAGTGGGCAGACCCAAGCCTAGCTGCCTTTGTCTTCGCTCCAGTCGTAGAACGCGTTAGAATGCAGAATGCCGGTAACTGGCGTTTGGCGTTCGCGTCCAAACGCATTAGAACAGTGCAGTGGAAACAGACGCAGCCTTTGTCTCCACTGCACTCGTCGAACGTGTTAGGACGCGGAGCTCCGGCGTTCGGTGTTCGCATTCCAGCCGTTCGACGAGTGCAGTCGCATAGCCTGCTCTATACTGACAAAGCCTGGCAGATCCCCACAAGAAGCTGCCGCCGAAACGAAAAAGGTGGAGCAGTAGACAACGAATAAAAGGAGAGCCACGTGACTGGCGCCCCGCTGCGGTGAGACGCTGAAATACACTTCTCCCGAGCGAACAAGTGTTTTTCGGGTCCTCGCCGCTGCAAAAGCTGTGCTCTGACGTCCAGGTTCCCTGAAAAATGGCTTTTTGATGCTCTTAGCTACCAGATCCTCGCGCTCCAAATCTGCGACCGGGCACTCTACGGCTTCGTCGTCGAACTGCCAGGCTTTGTGAGTATAGAGGAGGCTATGGCAGTGGAGACAAAATCAGCTAGCTTTAGGTCTACCGACGAATCATTCCATCCAGAGCTCGGTGTTCTGACGCCCTCACGTGCTGTCGTCTATTCCTCTTCCTCGGTAACATTTCGCTGAATTATTCAATCGCCAAAGAGAATGCTAGGAGTGTAGGTACACGCGCTGCATGGGCTCGCCTCCCTTGTATAAAAGATTCAAAGTAAATAGCCAGAATAAGGCCTATTGGAACGCACGTGAAAAGTTCTTTTTGTTTTCTATTTTTCCTTTTGAACAGTAACTGCTGAAGGCGCTAGCGCGTGCAGTGCGCGTACATACGTTCTCGGAGCTCTCTTTGGTGCTTAGGTAATTGGCAAAAAGTCTCTGCGCCGAGAAATTGAGGGAGGGAGAAGACAACAGAGCACATTGACGTCAGAACGCCGAAGTCTGGTTGAAATTGTTAGTGTATAGACATAGAGCTAGCAGCCTCTGTCTTCACTGAACTCATCGAACGCTTTAGAGCTTTGAACGCCGGCGTCCGGCGATTGGCTTTCGCATTCCAACGTATTCGACGAGTGCAGGGAAGACAAAGGCGGCTAGCTTTAGGTCTACCAAATAATTATTCCAGTCTGAGCTCGGCCGTTCCAGCGTTCTCGCGCGCTCTTGTTTCCTCCTCACACTCAGTTTCACGTCGTATTGGTGTGGCAAGGAAAAGAAATTAGTCCTGAAAAGTAACAATCTGATCAAATATGCGACGTGTGCTGAGCTAGTTGTAATTTCGTCGGGAGGAACGATAGAAGTCTAACAGCAAGGATTCTTTGCGTCAGGAATGGTGAATAAAATATCTCATGGAAGGGCCTCAAGGGCCTCAAAAGTAAACCAAAAATGCAATCTTTTTTTTTTTTTTTTTTGTGGACTTTAAGATTTGTAAAAATATAAAATGCACACTGCGTACCTTGAGCAGGTAGTACATCTGCTGGGGAAGCTTCCATATGTTCGTTTTTTTCTGGCGTTCTACGCAGCCGTTTTCCATAATTTCTCCCGCGATATCTCGTCCTAACGTGTTGTACATCATACTTTTTTCCAGGACGTTGGCGTCCGATCGGAGATTCATCTGGCCCTGGAAGAAAATCCAAAGCGTCACAAAAAGCGTATCGAAGCAGCAAACCCAAGAAAAAAAGGCCTATAGTGCTGTAGTTTCTGCGTCATCTACAGAAATTCAGTGCTCGACGCAGTTTGAAAACTAGCGTTGCGTCAGCATTTAGTTGTGTTTTTTTTTCTGTTTAGGCCCGAAACCAGCCAAACATTGATGAATAACCCGAATACAATTTATTCCCCACACTGGCCTTCGTTAGATGACGTGCAAATCCAGCGCCCCAGACCTTGTCAATTAGAAAGTGTTAATCGGAGTCACTTCAAAATGTTAGCTTTACTACGCGAAGAACCATGCTTGCCAGAACCTGATTTTGCTGAACGTGGACTGGCTTCATACTTGCATTAGTAGCAAAGCGCTTGCGATCGCCTGGATCTTACTCTCCGCAAAAACGACTCCCCTATCCCTGCATGCTATTCTTCCCGAATCAAGAACTTTTTATCAACATCACTACCACCATCGCCCTATCATCACACTTCTGTTCTAACGGCGATAAAGTGACCCGTGTAACGCCCATCCACGTGTAATTAAGAAAACAATTTTATGAGCCACCGCGAGGTATTACCCCTACTTATCGGAGCCAGCAACGACTGGACTCGCTTACGTCACTCCCCTGCGGTGGTGCTGCTGTTGGAACTGCGCATGCACACAAACGCTTTATATGACGGGAATCTGGTTCCGGCCCACGCGCAGTTCGAGTGTCTGGTGTGGACAAACACGGGTTTGTTTGTAAATGGCGTGGTGGTGCGTAGAGAGGTGTGGCCACGGCAACAGTGGCGCCACCACAACCACATATTCCCCGGCGGTCATAGTGCGAACTAAATGTAATAAAACTTTGGCTGGGGCTAGTTCCAATGTAACCCTGACATTTCAATGTTCCCATCACTGACCAACAATAAACATGCGCCGGCTTTTAAGCCACGATGAGTTACACCCTTGAATTGCAGCGACGTTTAAATAGAACGACAAAAAATCGTTTGTTGTTTTGCACGTCACCATGGCAATAGGGTCGCCGTTTGTGGTTCGTCATTTTGAAGAAAAAAAACGGGGACAAGTGTTTGGCCAATGGCGTTCCCTCATTCGCCCTCTGTCAATTCCAAGAAATGGTCGCACTCTCTCAATATATGGCTCTGATCGAGTCAGAGATAACTGGAAATCTGACGTGGTCGATCTTCCCTCCGTGACTATAAGAACAGAATGTGAAAGGTACATGTTTGGCTTTTACTTCTAATTTTATCGATTCAACGTCTGTTTAGAACCGTACGCATGAAAACTACCTTGAATACTCTATTATATAAAAGCATTCATCCCTATATTAGGCGACGCATACTCACGTCTGAAAGCCAGAGAAAGTAGTTGTACCGGTGAATGGGCATCCAGACCGGCATGTAAAACGAAGGGTCATGGGGGTACATCGCTGACATTCCTCTGTGCAGATCCTGAAGATGCCAACACCTGTAAGTTAGTCCCTACCCTTTCCTTTCAGATGTTGTACTTAAATATCGTTTCAAATGAGTATCAACAACCCTCCATAACACGCTAAGATATGGATACCGGAGGTACCCCTCGTAGTAAGCGTGGCCTCCTATTGAGTACGAGTAAAATGCCAACACCGGAGCGCGTGGCCTTGGATGCATACTGCGCCACTCAGAGTAAACAGGAACTAATAAAACTGCGGAGTGGACAGATGGGCTACGACGGTGTGCACCTTGGAGCTGGCGCGCAACCCTTCACCCCCCCCCCCCCCCCCCCCCCTTCCCACCTCCCGTTTTATAAGTTCCTATAGTTGCCTTTATCTAACACCGCATGTATCCAAGGCCAGGCGCTCCACTGTTCGCTTTTCATTCGTAATCGGTAGTACGAATTATAAAATAATTCTGCTTATGTTTACAAATAAATGCCAACTTCTCGTCACTGTTATAATGGATCAAAATTTCAAGATTCCGAGGATGCAGCGGCTAGTATCAGTCTCTTGATATGGTCATACTCAGATATCTATAGAAATATTGTTTAACAAAAACGACAAAAAATATCTTTAAAAGATATTCCCGGATACCCATGCAACTACTCGAAACTCCTCAAAAATAGGTTATAAAACTCAAGTTGATTTAATAAAAAGATTAATTGAAACCTCATAAAAAATTCTCTGACAATCCTTTCTTCTTTCCTGCCATCTCCGTTCACAAGTGAACAGCGGTCCCAATCAACATAAAAAATTATCCTTAATTAATCAGGAACATTTTTTATTAAGAACACAGCAATTTTATTTTCCTTTTTTTTTTTTTGACGTCCTGATAAGGAAATTTCATGAACGACCTCCCTTTTACTTTGCCATTTAGTATCTTGAGGCTATATTTATCACCGCCAAAAACTAAAATCCAGAATAACGCAAAACTGCCGTTTTAGGTATGGAATTAAGAAGTGTCGGCCATTTCGAAACTTATTTCAAGTAACGGGTACAATCCTGCTAAGGCGCTGCAACTTTTTTTTTTCTTTAATTACGCGCTTCAGAAAACAATTTTAACTAAAAAATTGCCAAAATGGGGATATGTTACCCGGCAGTACGTGTCGAAACAGAGGCGAATCACCGACAGGCTCAGAGGGGATGTCGCCCCGGGAAGAACCTCGCTGCGTAAAAGCAAACCGCACGTCAGTATCCTATCAGGTTGTTGCTGCATTCACAATTTATCGGCATGTAAAGCTGGCATAGCGTTTAACTACTTTTGTCCGTTCCCTCCGGGACTGTGTGAAAAAGGAGAGAACCTTAGAGATCAAAATCTTCCTAGCAGTAGTAATACACCACGAAAAGGTAGTTTCGTAGTAATTGATTAATTTTTTGCTAATTAACTGAGCGATTCGTTACAACCTGATCTCTTGGTTGAATGGTTTCATAATTGACTACTTGATCGAGTAATTGATTGATTTACTCATTTACTGATTAATTGGTCGATTGATTGATTGATTGATCGATCGATTACAAAATTTCGATTGATTGAATATGTTATTTTATTCATTATTAACAAATTAGCTCAGAACGATCAAATAAAATGTCAGCTCAAAACTCCAAAAACACTGGTTCGCCTACTGGTACAGTCAATAATGGTATTAAATAGCCAACGGATAATCATACTCTAAGAAATGCCTTCGCCTCCGCTTACCCGCAAAACACTCAAAGAGCCAATCTCTGCGACCTTCAGCTCAGCAAATGATGAGGCGGAACATCCGTTTGCACCTCAAAATTAAGTCTGCGCTGCGGCATTACACGATGCAGAGTGTCATGCTTGCCTTGCGCAACGCCTCAGCGCAGACTTAATTTTGAGGCCTAAACGGATGTTCCGCCTCATCCTTCGCTGAGCTGATTTCCTAGATGACAAAGATTGGCTCTTTGAGTGTTTTGCGGCTAGGTAGACGCCCAGGCATTTCTTCGAGTGCATAACGAGCAGACCAATGTCTATCAATGTCTTTTTGAGAGCATCATTTAGGGGAATAAATTTGACGGCACGGTATAGCAGGTAGAATCAAGTAACGCCCTAAACTCACCATATGTTGGCTTTTGTAAACGCTTCCTTCTCAGATTTGAGGCCCGTGTCCAATTCGTGAATCAGCTCGCAGTCCGATTCTCTGAAGAACGTTGTCACTGGACGGCACTGCACCAAGGAGTGGATTGCATTCACGAGGTTACTTCATCTTCATGATAAGACAAAAACAAGTATCATTCTCGATTATTCGCGTTGAAAAGTGTATGTTAAATCTCGATACATAAAAGCAACTAGAAGTCTGTCTGCTCACTAATCATTCCAATCAGAGATTGGCGTTCCAACGTCCCCATGCGCTCTCGTCTCCTCCCCTCCCTCAGTTTCTAGACGCATAGTCTTCTGTTTTTTAGGTTTTTATTTTACTTTTTCCAGGGCAAATTTTTAATTTATTTTCGCCTCACATGCTGTTACGGTTACGGTTGACATCAAACGAAAATATATTAGTCTCGTTTCGGTCACGGTTACCAACAAATTTTCGATGCTCAACGGTTTTCGGTTTGGGTTACTGTTATGGGTTTAGTTCCTGACTAGGAATATACAATCATGAACTCCGCATGGATAATTGCGTGGCTTTATTCGCCATATTTCAGTAAGTAATTTTTCTTGACGTCAGCCCGAACTCGGTCACGTTTCAGTAGGAAGCTGTGCCGGTGTTCATGCTTACGGTTTAAAACCTAAATTATTTGAATGAGGGAAAACGAGGGGCGAATGAGGGGGCTTAACTATACGTTACGTCGATAGATGTCTGCAAGCTACTGGGACGTTCGTGCCTCGCATGCCGTGTCCCGAGCCACTCGTTGAATTTTTGTCCTCACGAAGTATACGAAGCACGACCGGTAATGCGGTCGTCCCTCGGCGTAAACCTCGGTTACTACTTTTAGAGTCAGTTAAGGAGCGCCTCCTCAAACGCTAACGCTTGTAATTTTATGAAAACGTATTAGCATCCCCTCCTCGCGATATTTTTAGGCGCAACGGGATAACCTGAATACATAAATAAATAAATAATGTACGTCGAAATAAATACTACAAGAGCAAAGCCTTGGCTGATTCAGTTTCAGCATACGAATTCATAGGGGACTATTTTCGATACAGGAAACGGGTCCCATTCTTCACTGTATATTTAGGAAAATCGCTCATTTTTCTCTACCGAATAGCGGGAAGCTCTAAAACATTGGCATCTGGTCCAAATTGCTATCGCTACATTTCGGTGAAAACAATACGTTCGACAATAGAGTATTCTTTTTTCTTGTGGTGAAAAGAAAGAAAAATATTTAGAGACACCCAGTACATACTTGTTTGCAGTTTATCTGTGCCAAGGTTATAGCTCTAAATGGTGATACAAACGTAAAAATCTAGTTCGCCCACATATAAGTACGAAACTTGTTTTTTCACTACTTTGTAAATTAATATTAAAGCGTTTTCCGGTTACAAAATTCATTAATGTCAGAACAGGCGTCTGCTTTTTGATCCTTCCACGTGCTCTACGCCCATGCGGCCCTGGTTCTCTTCTCCCCCCCCCCCCCCCCCCCTATATTATCTCCTTGTCTCTTAAAACTGCGGCCTGCCTTAAGGGAGTCCTTCCTACAGATATAGTCGGTCATGGTGTACCACAAGGACCTGCGATCGAACGGTGTGTCGTATGCTGTATACCACGTAGCTGAGGCGTTTGACGACTGTAAAAGGTCCTTGCCATTGGCGCTTCACCTTCGGCGATAGTGCTTTCTTTCGAATCGGTTATAAATTCATACCCTGTCACCTGGGGAGAATTAATGGCCTTGTTGTAACGTGTGCGTCGTCCCGGGTCTTCATGCCAAAGTGGCCACTTGCCAAATGTTGCCGAGCAAATTCATGCATCCGTTCGAAAGTTTTTCTAAAGTGTCTCACGTGAGACACTGGGTCCGTGGCCGATCCTGCTGTTCGGGGAATGACTATTTCTCGGGGCATTCGAAGGTCGAAACCGAAAAGCATTATGGCGAGTGTTTAGCCAGTCACCTCGTAAGCGGCTGTACAGTACGCGTACAGAAACACAGAACAATGATATCCCAGTCATTTTGGTGATCACTTAAGAGCATCGAGAAATGTAGAATGTTGTAATTCATCCTTTTCACTAAGCCGCTTGACTGCGGGTGGAAAGGCATCGCCCTTGTTTTCTCAATTTTGAAGATCTTGCGGACTTCAAGAAATACTTGGGATTCGAAGCTTCTGCCTTGGTCCAAGTGGATGCTAAGGGGCGCTCCGTACCTGGTTATACTCTTTTTCACCAGAGCGTCAGCAATCTCGGGGGCGGTCTGGTTTGGAATAGGAATGGCCTCTGGCCACTTGGTAAAACGGTTGACCATGACGAGGAGAAACCTGCTTCCCAATTTAGATCCAGAAAACGGCCCCCAGCACGTCAATGCAAACGCGTTCGGAAGGTGCTTCCATTACATGCGGCTGAAGTGGTGCGCGCTCTTTGACGTGTCTCTTTACGCGATGCGCACATGTCACACTGACGGCACCACCGCTTTACATTGTTGTGGCACTGCAGCCAGTAGATGTGTTGACTATCTTCTTTATTGTACAATTGACGCCTTCTTGGCTAAACTGTAGTTGCTGGAATATCTGGGAACACCGTTTACGCGGTAAGACCAGTTACACACGACAGATCCACCGCCATCGGACTCCCAGCGTCTGTAGAGAACATTTATCTGCAGAAACAAAGAGTCCCATTGCACCAGGGAGCTTTTAAGGGTGGGAGGTAAGCTTGACACCCCTTGAGATTTGGGTCCACATTTCTCCATCCTCCATCGATCTAGTGTGCCGATGTCTGGATCATCAAGTTGAGCAGCACGGAGGCTTTCCGACGACCATGCTGCGTTGTTGCAAGGACGAGTTCCCAGAGCGTTGAGCGAGTTATAACTGTGTTTTCTAATACTTAGGAACTCCTTGCACAACTTCTCGTCGCACGTACGACGTGAAGGACAATCGGAATTGGTGCGATGTGAGCCATCACAATGCTGGCTTTCAAAGTCGTATTAATGAAGGTGCTCTAGCCGACGGGCGATCTGTTTCATAAATGCTCATTTTCACATGCTCATTTTCATGGATGCTCATTTTTCACATCACACATTGGATGCTCATCGTTAACATGGACGCTCAGTTTCAAGGCCCATCAGGGGTCCTGAAACTGAGCATCAATGTTATCGTTGCGTGATCGGTTCGGACAACGAATTTCCGGCTCAAAATATAGTGATGGAAATGAGCTACGGACTTGATAATAAACCAAAGTTTGCGTCAGGTAATGCAGTAACTGCTTTCGGGCTTCGTGAGGACTTTGCTGGAATATCCACCGACTAGCTCACATCCGTCCTCTTCTTGTGACGAGACAGCACCGACAGCGGAGGCACTGGCTTCAGTGTCAAGTATAAATGGTGCAGTGTCGTTTGGGTAGGCAAGAGTTGGCAAAGACATGAGTGCTGTCTTGAGGGCATCGAATGCACGTTGGCATTCCGGTTCCCTGGTGACTTGACCTTTTTCTCTGTCAGGAAATAGAAAATTTTGTCAATGTGAGTGAAACACGAGACAAATCTGCCGTAGTAGAATGCCAGCCCAATAAAGCTTTGTACGTCATTGGCAATTTTTGGGGCCGGCCAAATGCTAACAGCAGAAAGTCTACAGGGGTTTGTGGGAACTCCGTCCGTCGAAATTATTTGTCCGATGTAATCCACCTGCCCTGTGAACAACTAGCTTTTCTTTGGCGCTAGTTTCAGATTCGCCTTTTGCAACCGTGAAACCAACAGCTCAAGGTTCGTCAGATGATCGGCGAATGTCTTGCGAAAGACAGAAACAAACTGTGCCCATGATATTGTGCAAGATGGATTTCATTAGTCTTTAAAATGTAGATGGAGCGCTGCGGAGTCCAAGTGGAATCACTCCAAATTGACCTACTACCTGCAGTGAAAGCAGTTTTCTCGCGATCCTCCAGGTGAACTCGGACCTACCAATAACCACTCTTCAGGTCAAGCGTAGAGAACCACGTGCAGCCTGAGCAAGCGTTCAAGATGTCGGTTCGAGGCAAAGAAAACGAGTATTTCTTAGTGACATCATTGAGACGTCGATAATCTACGCAGAAGCCTGTTGACGCGTCCTTTATCCTTACTAGTGTGATTGCTGAAGTCCACGGAGAAATTGTGGCTTAATCATGCCCTTTTGTATTATCGTCTTGACCCTTTCATTGACACATGACCGCTGCGCTAAGGGGACGCGTCTGAGTGGCAACCGTACAGGGCGTGCTTGTCCGGTTACTATTTGGTGTGTTGCTGCTGACCTGAGGCCTAAACCAGTGTCGCCTGCTCTAAAAAGTGCTGTGTATTGTATAGATGTGCAGCTAACTTTGTACACAGCACATGGAGATCCAGGTAAGGAGAAGTAGAATTTACAGGGAGCCCACTGTTGCAGACTACCATGCACGTGGCAGCTCTCAAGGAACACAAGTCGGTTCCTAGATGCAGCAACCCAATATCGAAGTCAAACACGCACTTATGTGTTTTGAGAAAATCGACCTCAAGGTTGCACTGCACCTCAAAAGTCACAACTATAAAAGCCACCTCAACTTGAAGACTTCCCACGGTGCAAGGCATGGCTGTGCAGCCCAGGACAGCTACCCTGTCCCCTGTTTTGGTTTGGAGAACACCGCTTTCGGAGTTTGGTCGGAAGATCCCGTCAGCAAACTGCCGGAGGATTACAAAAGTTGTTGTCCTACTGCAGACAAGTGAGCGCGCTGGCACACCGTCAACGACGCCCATGATTTAGGTGGAAGTCGAAGTCGAAGCCGAATTACGATTTCGCGTCATTATTGCTGTCTAATTTCTGCTTTCATGGCAAATCCCATAGAACACTGTGCCCGCGAATGACCTTGCAGGTGGTCATTCAAGTAAATGAGAGCTGGAGGCATCTGCTTTCCTGCATGCAGACAGACACGTAAATCGAGATGCCTGTCGATCGGCAAAGGCACGAGTGTGTGCTGCCCGTAGAGTTTTCGGGCGTGCTAGACGAAGTGCATCCTGCACCTCGACAGACGAGATGACGTCAAGAAATGCCGTGGGGGTGACTGCCTCAATTGTCTCTTGTGGACAACCAGACAACGCAAGACGTCCGCGGCGTTCGATGTCGTCGGAAAGATGTGAAATTGTCCCTTCTGGAGACTTACGGCGGCTGCAAAGTTTTACGTGATGCAGGCACTGGAGTGGCCCTCCTTCAAAGCGCTGGTCCAATGCTGCAACCAAGCACGCGTAAGATTCTCGAGATTCAGGTGGCCAATGATGCATTCGATTCAACGCCGGCCGAGCTAGATAAGCGGTCAAGACTTCAGCATTTTCAGCCTCTGCCCAATTGTTCGCGAAAGCGATTATGTCGAACTGCGAGATATAAGGCACCCAAGGAGCGTTACCGTCGTATGTGGAGTTTCGGGCGCAGACCTGGAACTTCCGTCAGTTTTTGTACTGGCATGTCAAAGGCACGGAGCTCCTCGGGTCCGTTGAATTTAGCCTCCAGGCGCTGCAGACGTTTGGCGATGGAAGCCATCAAGTCCTCAAAGTGTGACAATACGCTTTGCAGGGGTTGAGTCACCTATGCGTACTCATACCAAAATTTAAAAAAAAAAAAACAATAACCGCTAATTCAAGGGGCGCTTCCGTACCTGCAGACGTAATCCACATGTTCTTCAGAAACTTCGGCCTTGCAATAACTTCAGAAACTTTTGTTTGTGTTTTCTAATGGTAGACGTGACTTTCAGCAACCAAGTCGCAAAGTTCTGTGTTCTATAGCCTCTTTTTGTCTTAAGTGGCTTTAAGAACCAAAACTTAGAGACGTGACTACTGGAAGCTACAAGTGCTGCCATACGAACCAGATACCGCTACTGAAGAGCGGAACCAAACATACGGATTACCATCCAGATGTAATGGCAGCACACCTAGAATTGGCCGATGACTCCGAAGTGTATTGCTCAAACCAAATCCTGATGTAGCACGGGACATTTTTGTGAACAAATAGTCTTACATAAAGAAGGGGACTGTGAGGGCGAACTAATCATTTTGTGTAACAACCAAGACTGTGGTTAAAAAAAGGTAGAAAGTGACAGAAAAGAAAATGTCTCAGTCAAAAAAAAAAAAAAAACAGGGGGGGGGGGGGGGGGGGGTTAATGGTGAAATGGGCGACTAAAAGCGTCTGTTTTGTCGGCATTCCAAAGTTGGGCAAACGCTCGCTTGTTTTGAATTTTGAATTTATTTTGTATAGTTTTGCCTTCATCGATGGACATAAGAGCAATGTGAGGCTGTCAACTTTAATGGTGTTATTTTAGGAATCCGGTGAGTCTAAGCTTCTATCGTACCATTTACACACACCATCGAGCGTCTTATAAATGTAGCGTTTTTTTATTATTATTGAGTTGGCAAAGCTGATCTTAATACTTTGTTTTTATGGCGAAACCAATCTTTGGCTGACATGTTTGCGTATAAACTATTACTGTGTGTTTGTTGAATATGAGTCACTTTTTTGCACAGCATTTCTGGATGAGATAACCTTGGGTTCTGCCTAAAGATCTGGGAACTCTTCACTGACACGCATGTACCTCGACAAAAATGTATTTCTTTGTTTCAAAGCAAAGTGAAAGCCTATGCATTACGCTTTCAATGTTTTCAATTTTATATAAAGGACCATACATTTTTGTTGTATAATTTTTTTTAAGAAACCAAACATAAACAACCGTGTAGAAAAATTAAGCTACACATGAGACATTTAATGTTACTTCTATCCTTAGTGCGCTCTCTAATAAGGAAAACGTTTAAGTGGCATGTGTAGCTCAAGCGGCCTCAACGGCTGTATGTATATGCTCTCCAAAAAAGTTGTTACAACTGAGAAATGTATGACCCTATAAAAAAGAAAAAGAGCATAGCTCCATTAGCTGTGACGCTTTGGGCTCGCGAATTCTAAAGGTTTAGGGATTTAAAAATCGCCCATGGCAAAGGTGTAATACAGATACTTCAAATTTACTCCCAAAAAGGTGCAATGCTGCCACAACTGCTATCAAAAGGTAAGATCTATAAACACTGGGTGAAGGGCCGTTTTCACCCATATAGGTGTTTTGGAGTATGCTGAGCAGGATGCTTGCGGAGACGGCGAGACAACTGAAGCTCCTTCCTGCCGTTCTCATCTTGTCAGAGGCCAAAGTCGTTTAAGCTCACTTTATTGACTCCCATTTCACGTGCCTCAGATTTCACCGGCTACCCCGAGCATATCCGGGCTTTGTTGCGTGCGCTGAGACCGTTTCCGAAGGCATGCTCATTGCTTACCTGAAGCATGTATATCTTGCCTCCGCACAGCGCCCACTCGATGTCTTGCGGCGTTGTGTGGCATTTCTCAATCTAAGAACGAAAAAAGAGAAAGAAAAAGATGAATGTTTCCGCCGTTCAAGTATCCCAGGATTCCTCGAGGTTAGCTAAATTGGATCACGTTATACACACGTAGTCAGGCGTTAGACTTCGACGCGCGCGACGAAGCCCGTGGCAGTGATCTAGTGGGGATGCGTGTGTTTTATAATGCGTTTAAACACAATATATTTTTACTAACTAAAATGTTACAGATTAAAATCAATAGACATCTTGTGCTGATGTAGGGTTTTTAGTGCGTTTACATACAATGGTCTTCTTAAAAACTAAAATGTAACGCATGAAAAACTTCCCTCACCTAAATGAGCAATAAATTTACTTTACTATTTTTTTCTGTAAGATATGTAAATAATTCCAAACAAGATCACTTATAAAAGTAACAGATTGCAGGTCCGTTACTTGTAGCGGATTATGTACAAGTCTACTACACACCTTGTTTTTGCATTGGACTTTCTCTGATATTCTACACAGAAATACATTACAGTAATCGATTCGGTGCTATTTCTTGCCACAGCCGCATTTTGCAGCTTATGAAGGAGCCTGGGGTTATAACGAAAGCTTCGTTTCTACTGCGGCACCTTTACGAACGCCTGGTTCTCTCTTGTACTCCTTATCGTTCTGCTTTCTCCCTTAACAAACGGAGTATGTTTTGTTTATAATTTTGGTTTTTAAAGAGGAGGTCCGGGCCCTCCGCGCTCCCTCTTCGTGGCGACGTCACCTGTGCTGCGTTTGCAAGGTTCGGGATCCCATGAATGTGCCATCAGATGATGATCGCTTCGACTATCTTTTTTCTCCGTATTATTTACAGGACCGTAATGTGACAAAAGTCGATCCTGACCTCTGTTCACGTCTTCCCCACCGCACAATTACTTTAAGATAAAATCTACCCCCTCCCCTTTGATGAAAACCCCCTCATCCCTATCGGAGGATTGCCCATGAGGGTGTCGTGATTCTATTAAGTTTCCAACCACGTGCCACGTTATAACCGCGACCATTAATAGCGAGCTTTAGAATGGCGTACCCGAAGAAATAGCGTCGTCGTCACTGCGTGTGCGCGGGGCCCAAACTTCGACTTGTATTGGCGCATTGCGACGACGCACATGCGCAGTTTGGAGCACGGTTGCGTTTGCTTCTATAAGCAACACTAAAACTCTCCAATGGTTGCGTGTATGGAATAACGAGACGTGAGCCCACCACGTGTACTGCGTTCGAGTTAGAGTAATACCATTTCGGAACAGAATTCTGCTCCTTACCTGGGTGCCTACGAAGACGAGGTTTTCCACTTGGTCGTCCTCCAGACATTTCTCTTTCGTCTTATCTTCGGTCACGGGCAGCATTACCACGCCGTCGGATTCTGCGGGAATATTTCTTCCTACGTCACTTTTTGCTTGTTTTCTGCTATCTTTTTAATGGACAGATATTCTAAGTGTATTTTACAAATAGTATCTCAAAACGCTAATCTGTGCGCCGCGGGTCGATAGAATCTTGGAACTGGAGCTCTTCTCGTTTCGGTTGCAGTGTTAGTCGTGTTCCTGCTACTCTATTTAAACTACTCGTTAAATGCTAAAGATGGTCCACGAAGGCAGGAGCGAAAAGAATGATAGAAGTCGCTCCTTGCACGCAATGGTTTACAGCGCGTTGAACTTATTTTTTTTTTTTTTTTTTTTTAAATGAAAACGTGCGTTTTGTTGTAAAAATCAAAATAGCTTTTTTTTCTTTTGTCATCGATTTTCTAACGGTAATCCATTACATTTGAGGCTGGGTAATTTGTAATTGCAATCTATTTCTTTTTTCAAATAACGAGCACAAGCCTGCTTTAATCTCTTAAGTGGTCCGTCAGAGTGTGAAACGTACTACCTTCCTAGGTGTCACGGAAGTATTAGATTAGCCATGTATCAGTTTGCAAACAGGTGATTCCTGAGTAGACTGGCATTCGTTTCTATAATTGTTGATCCGGAAGGAAATTATTTTGAGAGTTTCTACGACGTCATGAATTTGTGACATCTGGTTGGAACAGCCGACTCGCTGGATCTGGCGCTAATCCGCACAAAGGTATAATTGTGGTACGTGAAACGAGACAAAATCGCACAAACCTGACTGCGTCGTGTACAGAGACTTGTGTCCCACTTGCACAGACTCTAGCACAGGTCGCATGCCTGGTGTCCTTTTCAGGACATACGTGTCTGGCTCTGCGGACGCCGACACAACGGACTGAAAAATAAACAAAATGGCGCAAGAATGCTGTGAGTAGAAGCGTCCGCAGACTCAACTGCTTGGTTATAGCCACCTACTATCATTGCATTCAGGTTTCAAGTTTATTTCAAGTTTATTTACTTTCTATTCGTACAAGAGAGAAGAGGGAGAAGGAGAAAACAGCAGTACACAACTGCCTTGGCAGTGCCCCCCTCTGCCTCAACAGCAACAGCAGAGGCAGCTCTCAAAATATAAAAAAAAACAAAGCTCTCAAGAGTACATAATCAGATTTTGTGCAGACACCAGTAGAAATAGTATGCGTTTGTTAGAAATATTTTCACTTTTATTAATCAGTGAAACATTTTTTACCATTTATATTTTAAAACTTTAAAAGATTTCTCAAGAATATTTTCTTTTAAACTTTAATATTCAGTGATAAGAAAACATGAAGCTAACGAAGGCTGTTCACAGATTGAATATTCTTAGTTGTTTTGGCTAATCCCCAAAGGAACGACGTACTCACCTCCCCAAGGCCGTAGTTAGCCGTGACGGTGATGTAGGCCGGGTTCCCGGTGAGCGGATCGCAGGTGAACATGACTCCAGCGACTTCAGCATTCACCATTTCCTGAATGACCACAGCCATTGGTGACTCCATCGCTTGTCCATACTGCCTGTTCGATGGTTGTGAATGGAAACAAAAACACATATGAAGGCTTCTCAGAACAATACATTTTTTAAACGCCCATAATAATCCCTACAGAGGGGAACAAGTGGGGCAAAGAACAAACACAAATCTTCAAACACAGCTAGGTGACTTGTGAGGGACCGACAGAATCCGCCAGGTCCCGGTATAAAGCCAGGGACCTCTTCATTTCCAGTGGAGAGCTCTACCAACTAAGCTAACCAGGAGTTAGACGCCAGTAGAGCAAACAGGTTTTATCAGCTGCCAACAGCCTAACACCAACAAGGGTGAACGGCCTGCATTTCAATTTTATGATGATAATGCAATTGTCGCAAAGGTGCAAGCGAGCTGGACAATGATGCTGGTAATAATCCCTGAGAAGGGGATCAAGGGGGACAAAGGACAAACACAAACCTCCCAACACAGCTAGATATCACCATAACCTTAAATAGCAGGCCGTTCAGTCATGTCGGTGTTCTACTGACATCCAACTCCTGGTTACCTCAGTTGGCAGAGCGCTCCCCTGAATATGGGGAGGTCCCTGGTTTGATACCAGGACCAGGCGGATTTTTTCGGTCGCGCACCAGTCACCTAGGTGTGTTTGGAGATTTGTGTTTGTCCTTTGCCCCCTCTCCAGGGATTATTATCGACCTTCATGTCAAGCTCGCTTGCAACTTTGCAATAATTTCATTATCATCATATATTTTAAAATAAATGCGATTGAATCAGATGGGATTAAGTTTGACCCAAGCTAGGCCCGAGCTTGACCTCAGTTTGGTTGTAAACTCGCTCTGCCTCGGTTCTGACTTGACAGATCACACGAACGATGTTTTATAGTTTCGTCTAACGTTTCGCCTAGCCGACTCACCCCATCTGTTACGCTGAGCTGCTACATTCATGATTCACCCAACACTCAAATGACATCTTCACGGGGTTCAGTTCGTGTGCGTTTGACTCCTCTTGTCTCCATCGGGTTGAAATATGGCAACACGTTACATGACATCCGTGAGTCGTATGAAGCATGGCAGTCCGTTCAAATGGCACCTTGGCACACGGCATATGGATCACGGGTGTCCGATTCGCACGCGCAGGGAACTGAACAGTCAAAAGCAGTCAATCGCACTTAAAGGCAACTGTTTGTATGGAGCTTAAAAAATGCCTATAGGGCTACATTCTCTCTGAGCACTCAATAACCAATCCACAGGCGGGCGTGAACCAAGCACTGCGATGTGTGAAGCAAGCTCGGCGATTCGCGATGCCGGGAAAACGTTAATACCTAAAAATTATGTCTGTGATTAGACACTGAGCATGACGCAAGCACGTGAAACCCCGTTTCCATACCCAATCTCGTAGATATGTACAGTGCCGCCAAAGGCTCAGGCGTATGAACCTATACACAGCTTGCACGTGAGGGGCCATTTCTGCTTGTCCTTGCCGAAATAAACAAACTTGATGGTGCAAAATGCACGCTGCAGAATGTACGCGCTGACCAGCAGGGCCACAGCAATAGCGGCTGATTTTACATCAAAGCAAACCATGTACAGGGTGTCACAAAAGAAAATTTACACAATCTTTTTTACCGCAAAAATAAACTAGGCATCGCCGAACGCTCATTCTCCGCCCAAAGGTAGAGCTAGAGGTCACAACCAGATGCCAAAGTTTCAGCCCGATCCGATAACTTAATCAAAAGTTATAAAGGATTTTCTGAAAATTTCAATGGGAAAATGGCGGCCGACGGAGTTTTCAAACACATGGGGCTCTATGGCACCAGAAACCGAAAACGGGCAAAAACGGGCTCCATTTTCCCATTGAACTTTTCAGAAAATCACTTATAACTTTTGATTAAGTTATCGGATCGGGCTGAAACTTTGGCATCTGGTTGTGACCTCTAGCTCTACCTTTGGGCGGAGAATGAGCGTTCGGCGATGCCTAGTTTATTTTTGCGGTAAAAAAGAGCGTGTAAATTTTCTTTTGTGACACCCTGTACATTCACTGGTGGCCATCGCTGAGTGCGTAGCTGCTGAGCGCGGCGATCATCCACCAGAGGTTTCCCCAGGAATTGAAATTAGGGGGGGTCTAAATTTTTATGGGGGAAGGGCGGGGGGGGGTGTATACGGGGGGCCGGGGGGGGGGGGGGGGGCATTGAGAATAGGGGAGTCGTTGAGAATTAAGGGGGTGCCTTCAGAAAAACAAGGAGGGGGTGTACACCCCTCCTATTGGGTTAGTAGGGAAATGACTGGCTTCCACAATGCTTTTGCAGCGTGCATTACAAACCAACAAAACTGCTCACCAGTAAGTGTGAGCTTCTTCTAAGCACGCCCAGCGAATAGTGTTCTCAAACATGGCGTCCAATAAATACTCCATCCCAGAGATGTCTCCATCCCAGAGATGCATTCTAAGCACGCCCAGTGAATAGTGTCCTCAAATATGGCGTCCAATAAATACTCCACCCAGCGATGTCCCCAGTGTAGACAAAGGCTTAGGAGCGTGAAGCCTAACTCAAAAGAATGCTTTGTATAGACGGGAACTCGCGTATTGAAGGCGCTTTCGAAAGTCACGCTTTCGCGCCTGCACCTTTGTCAGCACTGCAGAAGTTTGTGGTTTGTTTGTTCGTAATTCGTGCAACAAACATACCTCCCAAAGCCACACTCTCGCGCCCATCCCTCTGTCAACACTGCGGACGTTCTTGAAATAGAGTATTGGAATTTTTATCATTCGACGAACATTCTATATACACCAGGCAGTGATTGGCCCTGAGAGTTCTTTTCGCAAAAACGGACGTACGGACCGTTTCTAGAGTGTAAAATGCCCCAACCTTGTGCATCAAGTTCATGTGGTAAGTACAGCGACATCTCTTTTTTACTCAATAATTTTTTTACAAAGAATGTGTCATTGACTAGGGTTTCACAAGGTGGTGCTTCAAAACGTGTAACAAGCAATTTGATCGCTAAATTTAGTAGTAAAATTTGAATTCGCGCATCGTACGCCAGCTCAGATTCTCCGCTAAATTTAACAAACAAATTAGATGCGGCACTTTTGCATAATTTTTTATATAAAATAAGAGAATACCTCCTCACCTTTTGAGAACCTTAGTTTTATCATAGATATAAATCACCCTCTTTAGTTTTTCTTTTAACCGGACACATTGCTTGGATTAATTTTAGTTCATACATTTCGAATAAACTCGCCTGAACAAACTCGATCGCGTTGTAAAGATTAGAAAATTGCGATTTTAGACTCAACTGATACTGGGTTCGGAACCATTTTTATGTACTTGCGTAGTTATAGCCAAATCTATGGTGGAAGCTATTATCGCTCTAGACCAAAATTATGTGACATGCGATTTATTTAACTACGTTCGCTGAAAGTGCGCCTGAAATATTGAGCCGAAACATTACACAAACAAAAAGACGGTAGACAGAACTGAAAGTTGCGACTTTGTTGCTCGCGCACGTCGCTGCCTTCTTACCGTTCTGTCGGTGGAAACGCGTTTTCAACCATGCGCAGCAACAGTGTTAAAGTTTGTACATGAACAACATTGCAACTGTTACCTTTTGTAGTTTATGCTCGTAAAACTGAATTGAGAAGCCCAGCACTTCACGACACACTCCAGGACCTGAAAAGAAGACCAGATTCATATCATCAATTGTCGGCGCAATGCTACCAATGCCACTTTTATTCAAAAAAGAAAAGTCTGGATTATACTTCTGGTTAAATGCAATGAGCGTGCGGCAGCTCTGAAAAGCAGTTGCTACTCCGCTGCGACACCCCGTTCCTTAGCGGCGGAGGAAGGGGAAGAAATGGGAGTGTTCGCGCACCGCGCACGCTTAACCCTCTCGTCCTCCCTCTTCTCCGTGCAGTGCAACGCTTTTGGTCGCGCGCGCCACGGCATTAAACGAACGGCCGCGCTTCACTGCTGACGTTCACTTCCATGGCCTTGCTACGTTGTGACACACACCAACACGAGCCAGCAAGGTCCGCGAGGGGTTCTTATATCAAGAGATTTTGACTATATAGTGATTTCTCGTTATTATGGGCACCCCTGTTCCTCCCCCCTTCCTCCCCCCCCCCCCCCAAAAAAAAAATAAAAAATAAAAATAAAAGTCTATTTAAGCGATAGTTTTACGGGCGACACTTCGCAGAGATTTTGAGCTCGTGAACTGCCGTCGTGGCTATAAAAAAAAAAAAAAAAAAAAAAAAGAATTTTCTTTTTCTTTTTTTTTTTTTGGCGCGAGGAGAGGAAAGTCGGGTTTTCCCGCCGGCCGCGGACCGCGGAGAGAGAAGAATAAGGGAGCCCCGGCATTCCGCCAGTAACGACGCCGCGAAGGGAGAGTCTTCGTGTCGTGTGCTTCAAACACTTGTTTTCGAACATAACTCGCGTTATGCGAAATCCCCCATTCGGGGTATTCAATTGCTACGCGTAATGTTGGATGACTTTAGAAACTTCAACAATGGTCGTCAGTGGCATCCACGCCGCCAACCACGAAGGCTGTCAGAATTAGCCATGTCGCACCTCCGTCTTCAAAAACGTTAAGGCACTATATAACCCGCATTGCGCGACCGTGTTAGAGCTATCACTTACGTTTCTTCGCACATTGTGAGTGAAAAATATGACTTTTTTTATACTAAAAGACAACAATCAATATATTTAACCAAACTTGGATTGAGCACCGTTAGTAATAAATTCAAAAATATACGAAAGAGTCAAACGAGGAGGACGGACAGGACAAACATCTTTCGGAGATGTTTGTCCTGTCCGTCCTCTTCGTCTGACTCTTTCGTATATTTTTGAATTTATATTTAACCAGTTTGCCCCATTCGTCTCTTCAACGGTGTCCCCATTTACGCGAAGTGACAGTATATCAAAACTTATTTCATAAGTTGTGGCAACTGTAGACGATTACGGGATGAGTAAAAGAAACATAATAATGTTCATGATATGTGAGCGCTGTTCTGATACTTTGTAGCAAAATTAGAACCACCTATAACTGCCCCGCAAAAAAACAGAAACACACGCACGGGGGTATGTGAATGCAAAGTGAGTACGACGTTTATATTTAAACACAGATTAAAATTCCTAAAATAAAGTATATCCGTGTTCACATGCACGCACAAGTAGACACATTTTTATATGCTCTACAAAAGTAATATTTAAACTTTAGTTGGCAGCCGCGTTACGATTAGAAACTATCATGCAACTGCTGACACCAGTTAAGAAGTGATATTAAGCTATTGTGACAGTCGAAACAATAAACTAGGTAATTTTTGACGTTGCTCTCTGCAATCAGACTTTTGCAGGAACTCATAAATATGTTCACAAGGATAATTTCCACGATTAACCTAAACCCACGTAGGAAATTTAACGTTCGTTCTTTTTTTTTCCTTTTTTTTTTGATTCGTACGTTTTCGATGTTTAATTAGGGTGTTCGATCTTTGTTGTAACCTCACAACGTGGGGGACGGTACATACAACCTCTCTTCATCTGATACACACAAATTTGTGTCTCCAAGAGCATGCACCTTGCCAAAAGGGTACACCTCATCACACGTCAGGAGGATAACGTTTTCAAAAGTACACCTTAGCAAATAATACAAACATATGTGATAGACAATCCCATTCGGGCAAGGCTCGTCAAATGCCAAAGAGGCACACCTTGCTCAAGCTCCGCACGCCCAAGAAGGTTGTCATCTGGCCAGCTGCTGACATGTCTTCGGAATCTTCACCTGTATACAGCAGGACGGCAGCGTTCGAGTAAACACACCAAACAATCGGTGGTCTAGGTTGTTGTTTCTTTTCCTTAAAGTGTAAACTACTCCTTCCAAATGCCCCAAGAGTTGTGGTACATTCATGATTAGGTTCCTAATCGCCTTAATAATATGTTTGTGAAGCGTTATCATACGAGTGACTCAGAGCCCATTTGGAGAAATTAATTAAATTACTCAAGCATTACTTTTAACTAGGGATTCATCACCTTTTGGAGCCTTATGTGACGAGTGTCCAGAAATCAAGTAACGCCTTTAAATCGAATGCTACAATAAACATCAGCCGTGAGTCAGATGTTATGAGATGGAGGGCAACAACCTCGGTGCACATACTGCCTCGCGATGAACTCAATAAACCGGTAAACAGCTTAGCCAGTGAACTGGATGAGTGGTATGGGAATTCAGCGATCCTGAAGATTCAAGGGCAATTAAAAATGCGGAACAATCTCCTTTGAGTGACAATTTAAACTGTCTAATCACTGGGGCAAAATACATCCCGCCCACCATTCTTGTTTGATGGAAACCTAAAGGGCCTTCAGAACCATCTCTTTTAAAAAATTGGTGAATCATTCCACAATCCCGACTATGCATGAACATGCCCATCGGCGTGTGCTGGTTGGACACAACCTGAAATAACTAAAGCTTGTGAAAGACCTCCTCTTTTTCCACCAAGCTTCACTAGACTCGAGCGGCACCAACTCAACAACTGTGCCCGCGCTCGCCGCTCAGTGTCCTTTGACACGTTGACTGGTCACGACTGTCAGCCGAGTGCTGACGCAGCGTACGTGTCCGATTTGTGTCTGCGCTAGGGGTCACTGTGATGACGTCTTAAAGTCAAATTCAGGCTTTGATTGCTCTAAAGAATGTTGCGAGGATTGCCAATTTTTTAAAGGAGTTCGTTCAGAAGTTATTTTAGGTGCCCGACAAACACGGGTATAAAAGTGTGGTTACCGTTATGATCTCCGTATTGCAACACGGATCACAATACGCGCAGGCTTTACCGAGAGTACAGCTGCTACGACGAGGTCACCCGCCAATGTAGAAAACACTTGTTATTGATCAGCATGGTTGTGTGCACCTGGTGTGATTATTGGGCTACCCATGGAGCACAAAGATTGGACTCACCGATGGCTGACGATCGAACGGCGAATCTCTTGCCACCCAAGTCATAACCGTACTTCGTCATACAGCGAACAATTTCTTTCTCCACCAAGTCTGGGAGCTGAAGTTTTTCCATGGCTGACACGACGCTGTAAAAAAAGTTGTCGAAATCGCAACGACGTTAATATTTCTTGCACGTGATGTTATCGATATTTCCTGTATCACCTGTTGCACGTTTCCTTCAGAACTGCCTGGGCATCCCCTCTGAAAGCAAAAATTATTCAAGGCGTGTCAAAATTGATGGTCAAACGAGTATTGCACCACAATCGTTTCTAGCTTGCGATTAAAGCACGAAAATATAAATTCAATATTTTATCTCAATAAACCTGTGAATCGAAGGAAACAAAGGCGTTGGTGGATCACTTAATAAGTCGGGAGCATAAAAAACAAAATCGAATGAGCGGAAAGGTCAATTGCTCTGTCTTTTAGAGTTGTGTTCACCGCGTATTTTCCCTCAAGGCTGTTCCCTAATTTCCTGTCTGATGGTGGGCGACTCAATCGCATACAGCCAATTACAGCGACAGAGGACACTGGCACACAGGCGCTAATCATTAGGAAGCCTTGGAAGCACTTATTACCATCTCCGTATTACTACAATGAAGGTTTTGCATTATTTTAGAGATGAAATCTATCCACTGTCCAGGAGAAATAGTTACTTTTAATATTGTCAAAAAGGTCTCAAGACCGCGGTGAAAGAATAATGCGTAAAATATACGCCGATCTGAAAGGTTTCAGAAATGCGCAATAGATGGCCCCAGTGTCTCCTCTCATCGCCAGCCCTCTCAAGCGGTTGCAAGGCAGTCGCTTACACCAGAATGCAAATGCGCTAACCAGCTTTTCCGTTCGCAACCCGCAGAAAGTAAGGAATATCAGACCGTACCTTAGGCCGCACCTCTTTATCTGCTGCACGAGGCGCTGGAATTCTCCTCCAAGCGAGAAGATCTTGTACGAGCTTGTCGTCACCACAAATGCATCTGGCACAGTAAACTGAAAATTAAAAAAAAAGAAACGGAGAATGACAGTTTTGTTTTCGTCATTTATCGTTATGCGACTCAACGAGAAATCGGGAAAATTTAGACTTTGTGTCGAAATGCGATGAAGTGCAGCCGAAGCTATGGGACGTCAGGTTCAGTCACACGAGACGAGAAACCAAGTGATACTATACTTCTCCATGCTTATCTAGCACCACCTAATACGATAAAAAAAACTGTAAACAGCCTCATCTACGTCCATGCAACGTCACCACACTCGACTGGCGCCAACTTAGCAGTTGGGTTCAACCCCGACGCCGAACGTCCTAGAGGTCGTCGACCGCACGCGAAACCAAGCCGAACTCCGACGCAGCATTCGAGTAAAACCTGTTTGCGCTCGATCTTTACCGTGATGACATAAAAATGCTAGAATACGGGTTTTGATTACTCTAGTTTGTCTGCTTCTTGCCACAAAGGTTGCACTGACGTCAGAACACCCAGCTCTGACTGGCTCCGATTAAAAAAATAGCGGATAGAACTCAAGGCTACCAGCCTTAAGGTCTATACGCTATCCTTCCAATCGGGGCCAATCACAGCTCGGCGTTCCGATGTCACCGCAACCCCAGCGCAAGAAGCAGACGAACTTGCGCTCTGCATACGCACTTTCAACTCTGACGTCACGGCGCTGTGGTGGTGCTGCTGTCGGTACTGCGCATGCGCAGACGCTTCCTCTCGTGCCAATCTGATTTCTGGGCACCCGCAGAGCCCACACAAGGTGCGGGCACGCGCGGGCGGCCTTTTCGACCAGAGAAGGAGTTTGCGTGCACAGCCTTAGTCGGCGTTCATGCACACTCTCCCGTACCTCTGACTGTGACACATAGCCTAAGCACATTGTGTGCGGCTATAGACATCTGCAAGTACAACCTGTGGGTGCCACCATCTTGCTGCTTGTGTGGGTAGATGGTCTGATAGTCAAGCATTTCTGAGGCCGTGGGTACGCCTAAGCGATGCCTGACTATCGGACGACCTACCCAGACCTGCAGCCAGATGGCGACGCCCAGAAGCCGTGCTTGCAAACGTCTCTAGGTGATCGCCACCTAGAGAGGTGGCGATCACCTAGAGACGGAGGAGTACGTTGGAGGAGTACGTTATCAGAGGAATACGTTGATGCGCATTTCAAATAATTGAATAACGTGACTTCGAATTGGCTCCTGATTGGACCTTGTGACCTGTAGCTTGGTCCGAAAGACCCGGGATATAAAAAAGTAGCGTGATACAATGTTCAACAAATGTTTCCTTCTCGCCGGTGCCTTCGCTCACAAAATGGCGTCATCTGCAACCAGAGAGAAAGAAGCTTGGGAAAGAAGAGGAAATTACATAGTCTAATATATGATTCACGTGAGTGTACGTTGTGCGCTCATTTGAGGTCAGCGCAGACGCCTTCGCTCAAAAGCGGCGTCGTGCAGATAGGCAGAGAGGCAATCGCGTTATTTTCCCTTCACATGGGCTTTATGCTGTTTCATTTTGAGTTCAGACACAGTCGACATTACAAGCTACCAATCACGCAGCGTAAAAAGCAGGAATCAATGGGCCTTTTCTATTTATGAATGTTTGAGCGACGATGAAACACGTACGCAAAAATGGCGAACACCATGATGGTGCCCTTGAGCGCTCTCTCATTGGTCTCATGACCCCGTAGCGTCGGTTGCGCCTGCACCTAAATGAAACAAACTATAGTCTATACACGTTTCTTACAAAGGCTCAGCCATCTCGAATGTCGTCGCTTCTGGTCTGCGCTAAGACATCGTTTCGACCTCTCCACGCCGTTTGGAGGTGTTGGCGAAAATTTCATGATTGTCACACATTCTTGTTTTGCCTCACCTGGATTGTTTCGCACATTCCAGGTTGAATGTTTTTATCGTTTTTTTCGTCCCGCACGCGAGATATGGAACCCACGGGATTGAGAACGAAAGGAAACGAAAAACCTGTATAGTAGGAGTTGACCAAGTAGAGCAAATAGTGTTTTCGTAAAGCGATACGCTCTAAAAAGTCCGGAGCATCTTCGGGCCCGCAAAGCACCCACGGTGATCAAGGAATTGATGTCATTCTTGGTTTCAAAGTCAGTGTGAATGCGTTCCCAGATTTGCTGTGGATACGTCCACGGATGTAGAGGTACGACCGGAGTGACTGCCTGAACAACTTGGCAGCTTTGAAGCCCCGAACACACTCGTCGTTGTTTTTATCGAGACTCGGCCACCAGACGAATCCTCGTGCTAGCTCCTTTATGCGGCACATGCCGGGATGCTTTTCGTGTAGCAAGGAGAGGACTGTACCTTGTAGTGTCGTCGGTATTATTATGAGTTGCCCCCTTGTCAGGCAGCCCTTACAGCGTGAAGTGTGGTACTTGGTTTTTCCACCAAGGCTTCTTTGCTTATTTCTGTGGCGGTGTCAGGCGTGGCATAAAAAAGCGCCAAGCAGTCTTTCTCTGCATCTACAGCCAACCTAGTCAAAGGAAGATGTGATAGCGCGTCTGCTGCTTCGTTGTCATTTTCATATCGATAATAGAGTTGGTAGTTGTGGCCCGACAGAAAGCAATGCCCATCGTTGCATTCGAGCCGCGGCCAAGGTTTAAGCGGCCTTGTCATGAGCCAGTATATATATTCTCAAGAGAGGCTAGTGTTCAGTGTATATTATGAAGAATCTTGCATAGAGAAAACGGTGAAGCCCTTTAAGGCAAAAAATGATAGCCAGGGCCTCTCTTCTTGTGCGCAGTTATTCTCCGGTTGTGTTGAAGTTCGAGACGCGAAGGCAACGGGCATGTCTGCACCGTCTAACGTCTTGTAAAAGAGGGCAGCTCCAAGACTGTAGCCTGTTGCATCGCAAACCACGCCGATCGGTTTGTCTACGTTATATTATGTCAATGCGGAGCCGTTTTCTAGCAGATCTTTTGTTGCTTGGAAGGCCTTATTACTGGAAATGGGGCAGTTAATGCCCCATTTCCAGTAATATCCTTTCTAACTCGACAAGCATTCCGGTAGTGACCCGTGTCCAATCACTGCAATGACGGTAATAGCCGAACGATAATGATCTCCGGAACTCAGAGCGTCCCTTGTGCTTTGCCAACCCCAACGCGTGGCTATGATCAACATTGGCGGCATATTATCGGCTCGAGATCATGCGGCTGCTTGTTCAGAGTGTGAGTTAAGGTGGTGAACTCTGCTCCTTTTTTTTCTCGTTTGTTGCGACTTAGATTGCGTATGGTGGAAAACTAACGCATCTTTCATAGGTCATTAAAGTCAGGGATTCGTTCTAAGCGGTTCTTGCGCAGGTACAAACATTGTTGCATCGCCCCTTTAAGCGCCAACGGAGTAAAACTAGGGTTCCGTGTTTTCAAATAAATCCGAAAAACTCTGAAAAACGCCCACCGGTAAGGTTTCTCAATTCTGACTTATCCAATCGACTCCGATATTTATGCATCAATGCCTCCCCCCCACCTACCCTCCATCCCCCCATGAAAGGCACGGTATTTTATATTTAAGTTTGATCAGCGTACAGGGTCGATGATCCTGGAAAAGTGTTATATGGTTATCTTCCAACTATCGGACAATTGTCCAAAGGGGTCACACCGCTTATGTGGTCGAGGTTCATTCAGGGCAACAGGTCATTGTACTTTCGGTTCACGACAAAAGCCACTATTTTGCTTTTCAGTTTAGGCCATACTAGTTGTACTTCTTAGAGGAGGAGAGATTGCGTTTTTGTAACAATGAGAGCCATGAACCATAGATATTTCATAATATAGAAAAGAAAGGCAGCTGAAAGTCCCGTATTACATCCTTTACCACTCCCCCTCGCACGACTGTAGGGTAGGTTGATGGTATAAAATGGGATGAATACCAGCTTTCTATCGATTGCCTCCAGGATTTTATTGACCGAAGTTTATTGAGGGAACACTTATGTCTAACTTCTGTTGTTGGACAAATTAGTATTGCCAATAGCAAGGGCAACAACGCCAAATCCAGCTGAAGAAATATTACTTGATACAAGCGGTTCCATCTTTTATTTAGCACACGCTTAAACCCGGATATTACTTATTTATTTTCAACATGAAACACTGAGAAATTCCGAATTTCAGAAAAGTGGGAATCAATCAAGCCTAACCTCCGATATACCCCAAAGTTTTCGAAAAAAAAACTACCTCTGAAAAACAGACTCCGAATTTCACGAAAACTAAACTTCTAAAACACGGAATCCCAACTATGACATAATCGGCCACCAACGAAAAGACACTTAAGACTGTTTACGTGTAAAAATGCGAAAGGCATTCCTACACGCAGCGCGTTCCTACAAGCCGTGCGCGACGTCTTACTTTTTCACACAGCGCTCCGGCGGAGACATCACGCTCACCCACAGCGCATGTGCGGCGAATCGCTTCATGACGGTTTCCGTGATGAAGAGTCTGCGTTGCTGTGCCTTTCTTTGTGTTTTATTTCTGAGGCGCGTGCTTGATGACGTTTCTTTATGGCCATCTTTCGGGCACGAGACCGGCGACGTCTTTTCGCGTAATGGGACAAGTGAGGCTTTCGCCTTGATCCCATGATAGAAGATATGGCGTCCCTCGCGTCATTCTACGACGTGCTTTGCGGGTAAGCGAACACATGGCTGCTAGGAACCGGAATAGTACGTGTGGTTTTATAGACGCTTTCAGGCAGCTGTGCATGGGCGCCGCCATAACCGACCTTCAGTTTTCGTTCCCGCTTATTCCGTTCGCTTCACTTCATCATTACCACAGCAGGATAGGCTATTGCCATTTTAGATTCTACTGCGTTCTTCTCCCCAGCCAAGGCCTTTGTGGAGGCTCGACAACGCCCGCTTCAGTGGCTCGGCATCTCGGTAAGACAAGAGAAGGTCGGCTATGGCGGCTCAATCTGGCGCGCGCTGAAAGCGTCTATAAACTGCCGCAAATCATAACAGCAAGAACGTTTACTTTTTACTAGGGCTGGATAATTTGTTGATTAA